ACTTAAGGATGAGAGGGATCGCAGACACTGACGTATGTATACACAGCTCGAAATGTATGAATATTCAACGGATAACTCATTCGGCGACCAATGTTCCGCCTATCGGTAGAATGTTAATATTTCCAGAATTTTTGGGAAACTCATTGCAAATGGCTGATAACGCTGAATTGCTAATGAGTTGAATTCAATCAGAATTTTCGAGAACATTCTTCGACTCTTTGGTTTTGCACGCTTTGGTGTGGAAAATGATTTGTGCACATTTTGAGAATACTTGATAACCGTTCGTTCAAGGAAGCGTGAAGAATTGTGAATAAGCTTTTTACTAAAGAAAAATGATTTATTCTAATTGATTTTTTATGTAGGAAAATAGAAATGCGCGAAATGTTCACATTTCGCGGCTTTTTGATTTATATCTCACTTTCACCTTTTCGTCCACTCGCATACAACAAACATACATACATAAAAGGTAAATGATTGATTGAAATGTTTTTTGATGACGATGAAGCATTCGGAAGATGATTAAGATCAGAATTTTGATGTAAATATCATCATTATCAAACAAAACCGGGGGTTTTCTCTCCCTCATCGCATCGTGTCGAATGCTGTGATTTTACACAAAGAAAAGAATGGAAGGAAATGCGTATAACTGAGCGAAGATCGAACATAGGTGACCGTGGTTCGGGTATTTTGTGACAAAAAAAATGAAAATAGAACTGTCCCAAAATAGCACAAAAGTTGCTTTAGTTTTTACTAAAATTCTCTTTTTTTTTTGGTTGTTGAGTCGTTCTTTTTTTAAATTTTGGATTTTGCAAAATGCTGTGGACTTTTTTTGTGGGACCATCGAACCAATCGAATGAAAAATGTGTCCGGAAACAATTTCGTTGGACGACTAGACATTTTTCTTGTCGAAACCCTAAAATATAAAAAGGATTTTGGAAGTCTTAAAAATATAAAGATCTATAAACAAAAAGCAAATCATGTTTCTGAGCACCATTTTTTTTTGGAATTCATAGAACACTTTGCAGGACACACTAATCAAATGAAAATTGTAAGTCTAATTGAATTTTTCGTGCAAAAAAAAGCAACTTTAGAAGAATATCACGAATGAAATAAATTTTGAGTTTATCGAATTTGAGAATTCCAGATATGTTTTAGAATTTTGCAAGCCGCTTGGTGGGATTCAACCAATTTTTTGGCAATCGCTAACACGACACCCAAGATATTCAAAAAGTGTCAGCATACATTTTTATGAACAAATGGAACATCTCACGTTCAATCAAATTGCCCCCTCAATTCGATCAGATGTGCCTTGTCGGCTTCGAATTTCTAACAAGGAAGTAGTGCGTGATAATTTGAAAATAAAATAATATAAAGAAGTGGTTGTGGGTGTGAGAAGGACGTATCGAACCGGCGACAAAAATATTCGTCTCCCTCCTTCATCGTCGTCTTGTTCATCAGGAGACACACCAGCAATCAACATCATCAAACGATTTGTCAAAAAGAAAATGAATGAAAAGAAAGAAAGGAAAAGAGACAATGCAATGCAATGCAGTGCAGTCAGTCCCGTACCGACTGCCACAGAAAGACAAACGTACGCTAGAACTGGTTTTTATCGTTCGAATCCACCCGGCGGCGCGCACGGGCCACCGCTTTTCATCTTTTTGCCCAATTCTGTCACAATCTGTTGCTTCTAACATCATTATGATGATGCTGATGCCGATGAAGACACGGAAAAAAACAAGAAATGTGAATCAATCGATAATCATCAAAAATAGATAGATTGTATGGACATGTAATTCGAAAATGCTCGCCTATTTTTTGTTGCCGCGTTTCGTTCTTTACGCTATTGTGACGAATTGCACGTCGTACACATGATCGTAGAAGATGATGACAAATTGTACGAATACTGTTTTGCTGTTCAGGTAAAACTGACTGCCAACATGGCCTGGGAAATTGCTATCCGTGCCAATTTCGTTTTTTTTCGCAAACTTTCCCACGGTCTCATAACAGGTGAAATGTTGAGATAAGAATGAAAAAAAGGTTTAATTAATATTATTATAATACAGTTTTGCGCAAACTAATCGAATTTCTGGGAAGTGAAACGTCTGCACAAGGGGGAAATAGAAACCAATTAGTTTTCAAGGGGTCTAATAAATGGATTAACCAACATCTGGTGAACACTCGAGGAAACAAAAAATTAAAAAAAGAAAAGCTCATTGTGCATTCGATTCATTGTATGTATGTAGTCAAACAAAGAAATTTCTAAAAACTTACTCACTTATAAACTGGTCTTGAATTGATTAAGAATTGGCACTTCAAACATACCTTTGTGTGGCATAGACAAAATTACGTTTTATGATGCATGATGACTATACATTTAAAAACAAAAACCATGGTCTTTACGCCCACGAAAACTACGGTGTTTGAGAGTTCACTGCCATATTTGGTCAAAATCAGAAATCAATTCGATCGAACACGATGGCCTCGGAAGTCAATCAATTTATGCAGTATTTGGAGAAATCATGTTTTCAGAATAATCGCGGATTAACTATGTGTACCACATGCGAATTATGTCATCATTTCTAGATGAATGTTATTTTATATTTAAAACAAAACTCGAACGGTGTTCTCGACGAAATGGCCAATTAAATGGAAGAGAGGAGTCCGAGCCAATGTGATTGAATACGGCGATGAAAGAGATAAAAAGGGGTAATAGACAATTTGGAACGTTAATCTAGAAATGTGCATTCAGCCTTTAAATGGGTCCAATCACGAATAACCGTTATCTTGACAATTTGGCTGGCAATTACCTCGAATTTTAAAACGACCGAGGTTTGCATAATTTTTCAAAAAATTTTTTGTCCAACTAAAAATTCAGTTGACTCAAAAAAAAAAACAATTGAAAATTTTGAAATGAAAAGTGTAGATTGTGAAGTCATGTTCTAAATGTAGCCAAATTTGGAAATGTGGGCGTTTCATTGTTTTCGGCAAACAAATTAAATCCAAAAATTTCACAAAACAAAAAGACGGCTGAACAAATATTGAAATTATCGAAACTCTTTGTTGCCAATTTTATTATTTTAAAATCTCTGTTTTTAATGGTTCCGTCAAGGTCGAGAAGAATATCATAAAACCCGAAATGCCGAAATACCGTAACCCCCGTCAAGCCAAAAAAAAATAGTTCCGCGATTTTTTTGGACAGCCGCAAAAAATTGGGTTGTTTGGAAGGCCAACGCGATTCCCAGCGTTTATTGATTTCAACAAATAATGTTGAATTTTATGAGAGTTTAAATCGTTACGATAATGAAAAAAAAAAAAAAAAAAAAAAAAACGAACCTTCAAAAATCTGCCGTCGACGTGCCAATGTCAAGCTTTTTCTCAAAGATTTTGCGCTTTAAATTCAAAAACCCTCGTTCGAAAATAATCTGAAAAAAAAATTATATTTTAGAGTTTTCTTCGAGATGAATTATACGGAAATCGAAACAGGAATCTGACTTAAAATAAGTGGACCACACGAAAATCAAATCCAACACACCGAGTTATCCTGCAACCCTCATGTTGTCGGGAATTCGAGCTCATAACCAATTAAGATATCGGAAAAAATGAAAACCACGATTTACTCATTCTGTAAATATCCCGTTTCTAAATTCGCTGTTTCCTAATAAGATGATTAAAATCAAAGACTGCCGCTCAAGCGTTTTCAAAAATCAACAAAATTCGATTCCAATTGAATAATATTTTCCGGAAAATGTGTCTTTTTAATCCTCAGAAAATTTATAAGCAAATTATGAGATTAAACGTTACATCGTTTACATATAATAAACATTTGAAAAATATATTTGATGTCTAAAAGGGTCTGACAATGAATTAAATTGGCTATTGATTTTTCCATCATTGGCGATTTTTTCCGAATCAAATTTGATTGAACTGATCAAATCGTAATACGAACAAAAAATAAGAAGCCAACACATTTTATGTTTTACGATGTTGATTTGTTGCTCGTAAATGACGTTCTTTCGTCTGATTCAATTCAAATGACCTGATCGCTTCTTCTGCTGTCTTCATATTTTTGTTTTATAATTGAGAAAATGATGGCAAACGTTTCAAGCTTAAAATATCAGAAGTTTCAAAATTTTGCGAAAGTGGTTTAATTTAAAAACTAAGTAAAATTAACATTTTCCTGTTAAAAAAACAGAAATAAAAAAAGTGGGACCTCCAAAAAATGAATCGGAACATGAATATAAACATATATGTATGTGTATTATTTTTTGCTTTTCATAAAAGCAAACAGCGGGCAAACAAAAAAAGAAATGGTCGACAAGAGAAGGTGGATGCAATATAAAAAAAATGATTGCCCTCCCACTCCCGCGGGGGAATCGTTTTTTTTTTTCTGGAGAGAGAAAGAGGGAGACCATCGATTGATTGTTGGTTGAAAAATAACGAGCACGTGGGAGTTAATACCCTGGAATTATGCAATCTACCTAATTTGTGTTGTCTCGCGAATGAACGCGCAATGATTCATTTGGAATTAAATACATGCATTCGTATTGGGCGGATTAAAGTATGGCGAGTGAACAGAAATAACGATGAGCTCATATAAATTCTAGAATCAAAATCCAAAAAGAGAGAAAAATCGTTCGAATGGCATTGCATTGAAAGTTCGCACAATTGAGGGTTGCTCGATAGAAGCGTTTTTTGTGATTGACACCTATCGCTGCCTAGAAAAGGATTATTGAGGGTCTCGATTGTGTTGATCATTATTCTCCATAAGGCATCATGTTATTATTTCAGAGGAGTGCAGCTTGGAATTTTCCGGCATGTCGTCAAATAAACTTTAAAAACAACAATTGAATAGTTTAGTTAACGTTGTATAAAATTTGTAAGTGCAAATTAAAAAAATTAAAGTGTGAAAATGACTAATACAATAATCACAGAAATCTAATTAATTTCCCTCTTCCGAACTTCATTTTTCTTGTTGTTTTCTTGATTTCGCATTGTCATTAACAGATTTCGATGTGCGTAGTATAAATGTGATTGACGTTCTTCGTAAAAATTTCGAAACTGCAATAAAAGTAGTGTTCGCGAATAAAACTATAATGTCTGTGATATAATTCAATACTTAAAAAAAAAGCTATAAAAACCAACATCATCATACGTGGCGAGTCCAATAACTTTGAATTCTTCATTTCTTTGACACGTGAGAGTTTCACACAGACAATTTCCACTAAGATGCTGCGAAGCGTAGCTTTCGCCATAATCGAAAGTTAGCTGAAAAAAAATTAATTTGAACTAAACGTCTAATTTTCTACCTGTGTTCCTGGATAAATATCCTCTGATGATATCATAAGACAATGCATTTGATGCGGTGAAAATCCTCCTTTGAATGCTCTGAATTATTGTTTAACCTTTTAGTCATTTGGTGAGATAATACATAATCAGAGAAAGATTTGGAAGACATCCATGTGTAATAAATCTCGCTTCGTTTCCGTTGGTTTTTGGATCGAGATACCAGGGTAGACAAAGAGTTTCCTGCGAAGAATATTTACTGAAAAAGGAGTTACGAAACTATACCTTGACTAGTTTTGCATAATTCTGGTCGTACCCGGGAATGCTTTTTAGTATTTTGGCACTTGCATTCTCCAATTTTGTCAATTTTTTATCCTTGATTTGAAATGAATAATCATTGGAACCACGTTCCAAACATGTTTTATATTCCACAAGTTCTCCTTTGAATTCTATTACTGGAGTTCCATAAGGAATGTAGGACATTGCGCGCACACCAAACCCCTTCTCATCGTAACGATAAACTTCGAAGCGATGTGCATTTTTATCCGTCATGTACATAACATTGTTGCTACAAGCCCCTTGGCATGCGCATCTGTAAATTTATTATCAAATTTCAGCGTTTTTTATTGTTCAAACTTTTCGGAGCAACAAAATGCGAATGTGTCAAAATACTCATCGAGACCACGAACATTCAAATGATTGAATGTTTTCTGTTGAAAATATATTATTAACGATTAATTTGAAAAATCATCATACGAACTGAGTTCTCATTGGTCGCTGCTCATCGGTCTTTTGCAAAGCCTCCAAAGTCTTGTTCACTTCGAAGCATGGGCAATTGGGATTATCAAAACAATTAACCAATCCATTTTCACCAACACTGCATCCACATGTAATCTATAAATCATTATTGATTTTTCGAGAAAAATGAAATACATTTACCCAGCCTTGACCTTCATTCGACATATCAATAAGTTGATGGAGTTTTTTATTCGTATGTGTATTTATAATATTGTCAGTTATATAATTGAAGCATAGTGTTTCTGGAATATCCCAATTCTCTTGACTGTTGATTTCAAGGTCAGAAAAAATAGGAATTGGAGGGCCGTAGTTGCCAAAAATATTTCTGAAATAAACCCATTGAATTTCAGAAAGTATTTTAATATTTACCTGGAAATCAGTAATCGCTGTTTTGGCGGTTTGTACGGATCCATAAATTTTTTAAAAGCTCTAAATATCAAATGCCTTCAAAAATTATATAAATGTGAAACTACTTTTCTAGTGCATCCGGTGTTGCCCTTTTTGAAGCACGTTCTTTGACAACCAGATAAACTTCATAATACGCTCGATAACCTCGCTGCTTCAAAACCACTTCTAAATATTATAAGCGACTTCATTGAAAATGTAAATAAAAACATGCGCAAACTTCTAGTTATTAATATATGGACCGTTAAAGTTAGCCCCTACCATCCAATTTAGAATATTTGAAAGATAAGTTCGTTACGTGAACGTTCTTTTCAAAGTTTATTCACGCACCCCTGTGGTCCACAAAAGCGAAAGACCGAAAAGCTTGGAAAGCTGTGGCTCGCGCCTCAACAGGCGAATGACGAACCGACTATGTAAGTAAGTGACTAAATAGCTCTTTACCGTTTATCTCTTCGATCGTCAGAAAATTTATATCTATGAGCTGAATTCTTTATTTTCATCCTAACGTGTGCAATTACCTGGAAGTCGCCTGTGAGTTTTTCGATTGAAATTCATTGCAAAAATACCATTCGTTTCATAATAATCCTCTAGCGATTTATAAATCTTGAAACGTTATCAAAATCATTCAAATGAATCATACTTAAAAACAACCTCAAAAATAGTTTTGCCTTCGTTATAACAAACAATCCTCCGATTTGTTTCATAATGTTCTAAAGCATTGGTGCAATACTCTTCTTTGAAGTCATTAATTTGATCATAGTTTTCATCAGTCCGACCATTTTCTATTTCAGTGCCATGCACATTCTGACCCGTTGTTACAATATCTTCAATATCATTCATTGAACAAACTTCAGACTTTATAGTAGCTGTTCTGATTGGTTCTTCATCCTCGTCTAATACTACTATTGGAACATCTTCAGTTTGATCATCCAGAATTATCACATCCGGAGTAGTTTTCAAGTACCGGCTAAAAGGGGCGGTTTGTTGTGTTCCGCTTTGCGAAGTTTTTCCTATAAATCAAACAAAAAATTAGCTTATCGTAAAATAGTTTCTACTTGTTTTTTTTTTTAATTATTTTTACTAGATTTTGCTGAGTCTCATCCAGTTTAAAAAAATGATTTTTTAAATCCGACTATTCCGAAATCAGTTTTTTAGAGTTTTTAATTTTAAGTTTCATACTAAATTCATCATTTTACTTAAACAAAACCCATTTAGTTACAAAAGTACCTTCTTGCTTCTCACAAAAACCACGACGATTTTTATTGCTGTAGCTGTGTTGCACATAACCATCTTAAATAAATTGTTATTTAAACTTTTGGAATATTTGAATACTTTGAATTGGTGCATTAATACCATTTTGTGAATCTTCGCCATTGTTTATATCATTGTTGAAAACGCCTTGAATATCATTTTTTAAGACTTTAGAAATCTCAATTACTTTTTCTCTTATTTTTTCCTTCCTTCGAAGCCCAAGGTATATCGAAGTTACTCATTTATACATGACCTAAATTTTTAAAATTTAAACAGTAACGCCAATTAAATGTTTGCAGCAGATCGTTCTATTTTCAACGAACGCAATCGATTAAAAAAAACAAATCGAAATTCGGTGGTACATATGCGCTCTATTGAGATTCGGTGCATTTGCGCGTAATTTATTGGGTTCTGCTAAGCATGTAAACATTTAATACTCAGTCAACGATCCTTCCTTGCAATTTCAATTCTTTCCAAATCACTTTTTGGTCCTAACGTCCAAACAAGATGGTGAGTCTATTACTTTTCCTTAATTCTTCTTTCTTGTTGAGAAATGTTTTAAAACAGTAGATGAGAAAGTTTTTATCCTTATTTTGGCTATTTGAAATTACTTTTTTCAGCCTAGCAAGAAGGTCATCAAGAAGAAGGTTGCTTCTGTCCCAGCGCATCTTCGCGCACAGGTCCAAACCAAAGAAGTTAAGAACCCACTTTTCGAGAAGAGAGCTCGCAACTTCCACATTGGTATGTTGTCAAAGCATTTTTCGAATTTTCCAACACGTGAAGGATGATCCTCTTCGGAGTTGATTGTCCTTCTATGTGAAGCATCGGGAGCTTCTTTTGAAGTTTGAAACCGGTTCACCGTGTTGAATAGCATTAACTGTGCGGCCCTCATTGAGATGCCCGGTTTTCACTGTATATTCCTTGTCGTTCCATAGCTTCATTGAAGCCGTGATGGTTAGGAAAAACCATGCAGTGTACATTTACTTTCAAATCCAATTAAATTTTACTTGTGAAACTATTACATTTACAGTACTTTTTCTGTTTAGGACAAGACATCCAACCAAAGAGAGATGTTACCCGCTTCGTCAAGTGGCCGAAGTACATCCGTCTTCAGCGACAGAAGGCTGTCCTCCAGAAGCGCCTGAAGATCCCGCCAAGTGTCAACCAGTTCAGAACTGCTCTTGACCGTCAGACTGGTTCGTATATTTAAATTATCAGAGATATGTAATAAGCTGGCTTAAAAGCTGTGCCATGATGCGTATACTCTGAATGGTCAAGTAAGCCTTATACAACGTTACTGATAAATTTTTTGCATGTCCTCATTTTATAGTCTATAATTTCAGCTAGCCAGACCTTCAAACTTTTGGACAAGTACCGTCCAGAATCTCGTGAGGCTAAGAAGGAACGTCTTCGCAAGCGTGCCGAGGCTCGCGCCGCCGGAAAGAAAGAAGAGGTCACCAAGAGACCAAATGTTGTCAGACATGGAGTGAACACCATCACCCGCCTTGTTGAGACTCGCCGTGCTCAGCTTGTCCTGATCGCTCACGACGTTGACCCAATCGAGATTGTTCTCTTCCTTCCGGCCCTCTGCCGTAAGTTCAATGTTCCATACGCTATCGTCAAAGGAAAGGCTGCTCTCGGAACCGTTGTTCGCAGAAAGACTGCCGCTGCTCTCGCCATCGTTGACGTGAACCCGTAAGATTTAATTTTACCAATCTAGAAAATTTCGTTTAATTACAGAGAAGACAAGTCTGCTCTTTCTAAGATCGTTGAAACCGTCAACAATAACTTCAACGAGCGTGGAGAGGAGATCCGCAAACACTGGGGAGGAGGCGTCATGTCTGCCAAGTCCGAGGCTCGTAAACTTAAAATCGAACGTGCTCGCGCTCGCGATCTTGGAAAGGTCTAATTTGTTGATCAATAAATTGTTGATATTGTTTCTTTTTCTTGCACGACGATATCAGAAGAACGTTTGAAACTGTTTAAAAACAACGGAAACTAAAGTACGCTTCGGTTTTGAGTTGCTAGCGAGCGAAATAAAACAGGCTGGGGTTTTAGCTATTTCTGAGCCTCTCATTGGTAATCAAGCGTTGAGGTGTTCTCCAGGACTGCGGCAATGGAATTGCCGAAGAGAACGTTCGATCGGCAAGTTGCCGGACTGCCGAAATTTTGATTTTCGAAAACCCGGGTTGTTAAATTTTGGGCCCGGCCGGCTTTTTTCGGTGTACAATTTTCGGCCCCCGACTCCGTTGTTTACGGCCGAAGCGGGAATTCAAAAAAAAAGCCGGGCCGGCCGGCTTTCGGCCCCGGCTTCAATTTACCAACCCTGGAAAACCAAAATCAATGTATTGAGTAGTTTGGGTGTTGGAGCCGTGACCTCGACACGTCACGTGACACACCACGTGGCACACGTTTCATAGGAAAATTCGGTATTTATATTTCGAATTATCGTTGAAAACATTTAATAGCCGAAATTTTGATTTTCGGCAACATGCCGAAATTTCCGATTGCCGCACAGCCCTGGTGTTCTCCTACACTTTACCCGTTATCCACGTTTTTGTGCTATTCGCTAAACACGACAGTGCGATGTCTGTACTGATGCACCTCGAGGCAAAGAGATGCGTAACGGCGTTATCTGCAATAAACATACGTGCATGCGAATACGGAGAGTTACAGGTATTCGTAGTACAGTACCCGAGTTTCCACTTTTAAAATGAAATCTGAACTGCTGACCCGCAAAAATGGTCTGCAATTACTCAATGCAAAATTAAAAACTTATATTTCGCCGGCTATCACTCATGTGTTAACTCAAAACCAATTGCATCCGACAAAATTCGAAAAAATTTCTTGTATCCGATTGCCCCGATTTTTATCCGTTTGTAAAATTTGTCGGTCTCGTAAAGCAGAATGGGCTCGTACTTTCTTGTGTAACACGTATTCAAATGCCCAAATACTTACAGTTACTTATTATTACATCGCAAAAACCGAGCCCCTTGCATATTTGGGGACCATCGCACTTTTTCGAGGCGATAATTCAATTTGCACCGTAAATCGACGAAGGGCGCTCGTTTTTTGCAGTAGAAATAGAAGCAATTCAAATAACAATTGTTGAAACATAGATCACTTATTTAGGATATTGTTTCATTCCTTTTTAAGATTTCTGTCGGCAAGGTCATGTTTTATGTAAAAATTTTATCTGAAACCGCTAAAAACCAAACAACAACAAAATTTCCCGAGTTTTTAGACCTGGAAAAAAATTTTCCCCTCTGGTAACTCAAAATCGGATCCGACAAAATTCGACTCCGGAATCAACCTTATCCGATTGGTATTTCTACGAATAAGATTGGAAAATTGTCGAATCCGATTGGTTTTTTTTGGGTATTTTCGTATCCGATTGGTAATTTGTCGTATCCGATTAGATTTTCTTCGAATACGATTGGTAAATATTCGAATCCGTTTTGTTTTAATATTTCAATTCGAATCGGATTCGACAAATAACCAATCTTATCAGTAGAATTACCAATCGAATCCGGCAAATTACCAATCGTATTCGAAAATACCCAAAAACGAATCGAATTCGACAATTTTCCAATCTTATTCGTAGAAATACCAATCGGATAAGGTTAATTCCAGAGCCGGATTTTGTCGTGGTTTTGAGTTACCAGAGCGGAAAATTTCCCTATTATACAATACGTGCTCAAAAGTACAATGCTAACATATTTTATATTATTTTATAAATATTTTATCTTTCAATTTCATTTATACCTGTACTTTGCGATTTAGTCACACTGCGGATAATATAATTACAAAAACAAAATTACTGATTAGAGGGGGGGGGGCTGTTGAGGCGCGAACCACGGCATTCCAAGCTTTTCGGTCCTTGGCTTGAGTGGATCAGGGTGATCTCCTTCAGCTATTCTTGTGGTGATCTCCTTCCGAAGCGAGTCGGACCATCTTATGGGAGGCTTTCCTCTTGGCCGTGTCCACTTCCACGCCACCATTCCGTTAGAAACGTAGTCAATCTGTTCTCTTGTTAAGTGTCCATCCCAGGTCATCTTCCTCCTGATGTGAGTTAGGAGGGCCCGAACTTTGGACATCCATAGGAAATCAGACGTGAAATTCATACTATTTTCATTGTTCTTTATTCTCATTTATTCTTATATAGTCGGCGTCCGTGCAATGAAAAAAATAAAAAAAAAATCAATTTTTTTCATGCAATGAAAAAAATTAAAAAAATCAATTTTTTTCATTTGAATTCCCTATGCACGCACGTCGAAAATTACAAAAAATTGACGCGATATATCGTAATTCTCCGCTATTTATTTTTAAAGGCGCATGCGAAAAGTTGCGCGGGTCACGTCGCGAAGTCGGTACTGTAATTTTTTAATGTCTGTTTTTTTCGATTTTTTTATTTTTTGAGCGTTTAAAACGTTTTTTGGAAATCTGTAGAAGTATTTTATTTAATAAACGCTGAAGATTCATCAGAAGCGTCATCGAGCGAAATCTGCATCAAATTAACACAAATATCACGATTTTTCATAAAAATTGCTATCTAAATGACAAAAAGTAGAAAAATATTGTCGAATTAGGAGTAATTATACCAACAATAATTGTTTTTAGTCGTACTTAAATCCATTCGTCATTTTCTCTTCGAAGTCTTTGAAAAATACGAAAAACTAGCACACAAAATGAAAAATAAAAATTACAGTACCGACTTCGCGACGTGACCCGCGCAATTTTTTGCATGCGCCTTTAAAAATAAATAGCGGAGAATTACGATATATCGCAACAATTTTTTGTAATTTTTGACGTGCGTGCATAGGGAATTCAAATGAAAAAAAATTGATTTTTTTAATTTTTTTCATTGCATGAATAGGTCCAAAAGGTCTCACCACGTGTGAACGCTTATTTTGCTGTTTTCACAGGAACAGTTAATTTTTTTTATTAATTTGGCATTTCTTGGAAATTCTAAAAAAAATACAAAATATAAAATACAAAATAACTGTGCGAGACCATATCGAAAGACGAATCCCCGTAAATCTACACGCGCACAGCAGTCGTCGGACGCCAACTATACACTAATTTAATAATTATCGAACAATAATGGTTTTTTTTGCAGTCTGTATTTGTATATAATGCGCAAATTACTTCTTTTTTCTGAGTTTTTCGTATTTTCTTCCCAAAATCTCTGCGTAGCCCAATTACGCTCAAACATAAAATTTTGTTTTTGGCCAAATACCATTGTATACCATCGGATTCTGAATAATTCCGTGTGATGTGAAATACGGCATTTTTTTCCGTTTTCGTAAATTTGAATTGCAAATTCAAACATTGAATATAGAGTTTGTCAGAGGAATCATATCGAATTTATCATCATCTTCTGTACACATTTGCCTCATTTTGTCACCCCCTTCTCTACACTTATCATCTCCTCCAACAGCGCTATCATCACTTGTCAATCTTTAAAGAATGTTTTTGAAAAGCGACCCCTCGTCGTCTGCCTGCCCTCAAAAGTTCAAATTTCAGTGTAATTCAAGATTTTTTTTGACAAGTCAGCTGCGTCGTTTTTTTTCTTTGTCTTTATTCTCTATTTTTTATCTGTCCTTTTCATTATTTTCTTATCGGGGGGGGGGGGGAATGGAATATCCCGCATAATCCATCGCCATCATTTCTATATTACCATAAAAGGTATACGAATAATATCGCATTGTTCTTCGCATGTACTACACTGTAGCCGGCATCATATTTACAGAACCGGTAAAATATTGTTGGGCTTTTACGGCGATTTAAATCGAAGAAGGTCAGCACATCAATTTTTAACAAAAAACTGACTATTTGAATTGAATAAAAAAAATAATGCCGATGTTCGAGGTTTCGTTTTGGCGCGAAACCATCCGTTTTATCAGTTCTGCCGTTCTCATCATTATCGCCGCCTCGTTTTTTTTTTCTCTCTCTCAATTTTTTGTAATTTTTATACGATTTTTCAAACTTTTCAAAAATAACAAACGGTTGCCCAAACATCGAATCATCGGCACGATCTTTGAAAATTGAATATTTAATTGGGTATTCGCTCACCGCTAAACCGACAAACAATATGTAAACTATTATTATTATTATTATTATTATTATTATTATTATGTTTTTTACAGTTTTTAAAACGATTATTTCAATGTTCTTTTCCAGATTGATCGTTTAAAGATCCCTTAAGGGGCAATGCATTCGATTTTTTCTATTCATTTCTGTTGTGTCCTTGTGAACGAGCCATCTTAGGAATATATTTAATAGATACAAAACTAATAACTGGTCGTGAAAAGGGCTTTTTATATCACTCCTAATCTTGATAAGACGTATGCCACTTGATATGTCGTATAATATGCCACGACTCCAATAATTTCTCTATTTTTTTTAAAACTTCGACGCCCCTTTAATCACTTGTCTAAAATTGGTTGCTATTCAAAGTACTCGCTGGCTGAAATATGACACTTGTCGTACGCTTGCATTTTTCTAATGGCCTTGCTTAAAATTTGATGAAGATTCGCACGTAAGCCTTCTACACTGACATTTGAAGAATATAATCAAAACTGGCCTATTATACTATTGTCTGTTTCCGAGAAAAAAGGAGAATTCGAAAATTCGGATGTGAAGATCAAAGGAACCACATTTGTGTGGTCAGTCAGAGTTCCCTATGATGACTTTCTCCCACTCAATCGGCGTGCTCGCGTTCTTTGCTGTCTCTTGTGTATGCTCCCTACTCAATCCTCATTCGGACAGGTACAAATCGCGTTTTCACCTTCTTGTCTGACGAACAACCCCCAAAGAGCGATCACAGTGATCTACGTTCTATGACAAATCATCTGTGCTATTTTTTTCATCGCCAACTATCACAATTTGGCCCCTTCGCTTTGCCCAGTTTTCCAAGGTACATATTTGAACAAGAGTGTATTTAGTTTCCATAGTAATGGGCAAATAAGACCGACAGAGCTACTAAGCAGCACCACACTGAATGTCGTCGCCGTAGTTGTTGCTATTTATTTTCACTGGAAATTATTTGAATTTCACTATCATGTAATGATTATTTTTGAATATATAAATAAATATATATGTATATATATATTTATATTTCATGGGGTGAGTGTCATTTGTTGGTATTGCACGAATCGCTGCGGATCGAAAGTGCACGGGTTGTCGATCGTTGCGCGGCATTCACGTGCCTTTCACATGCATCCGCATTGTTTCGTTGTCCTGATAAAAGCTGCAAAGCCATATGATGATTTGAATAAGTTCATTCAGAACATATTATACTATGAAAACATGGCGTGCTCTTGATTGTCGGCGAGAGACCAAAATGTATTGTTATTTATATTACGGTCAGATCGATAAAAACGGCATTGTAGATGAGAGACGCAAAGAATGAAATGATGTGTAATATCGCGCAAATACATCACTTTTATACTGAAATTCCCCTAATTTTTTCGATTTGTTTGAATTCCTGTATATCGACCACTTCGTTAGGTTCGAGAGAGCATTGAGTTCAACTCGACTGACTGGTTTTTGAGCAATTGTTAGCTAACAATATGATTATCCGTGATTGCCTTTAATTTCAAATAATACACTTACAAAATCCGCTGATTCGATTGATGGCCACCAGAAAGAAGAATCCGAAGAATTTATGGATCATTTCGATTAAATTCTGAAAAAAATAAGGACATTTTCACTATTTGTTTGATGCAAAAAAAACGCCCGAGGGTGTTTTGATCTCCATTTTTTTTGATCTAACGATATTTATTAAAAACGTAGGTCTCGGATGTCTGTGAAATACATTTTGTGAAATACGTATACAAATTAAGGGGAGCGTTGCTTGTTATTCAAAATTTGGCGCCATGGTCTTATAATCATTTCCGATTTGATCTTGTATGAAATGCATTGTTTGGCCATTCAAATTTGTCTAAATCGTCCGTCTTTGACAATATTTCCAGCCTTTGTGGTGGGTCCGTTCTTAATTAATCCTTTCTAACATTTTTCTTATTGAACTCCTCCCCATCGAAGCCCTTCCTATTATACAAAACATTTGCAATACTTTATTATTATTTTCTAATCACGATTAAAATATATGTGTATAATCAAGCTCACATTTGCCGTTTCTAGTAGCTGGCTTCATCGTACCCGCCTATTCACTAAGCTTATGAATTCGTTCGGATATATACTTGAATGCCGCTAATCTGCCCTCGATACGTGCCGATTAAAACTACTACTTATATGGCAAGCCTACTTCCTATTCCACAAAATCGCATAGCTCAAAATCGAAATTATTGCTGGTCTCGTTTATTTCGAATGTTTACTTTTTTCCGTTTTTTTTTTGTTTTTTTTCCCACCAAATTTATGGACTAATCCGTATTTCCATGTTTCCATTTTTATGTTCTAAATACTTGTCAGGAGATCATTGATGTTTATTGTGTGTTCTGTTTTTCTCCTGGCGTCACTCGTTAGTGTCAACATGAGTTCTTCTTGTACTCTCGTCATTCGTTTATAAGTCCAATGTTCTGCCAAAATTTTTCGACCGCAGTGGAATGGGAAATTTGCAGATAATTAATGGTGTTTCTCGCCACAACTGCCTCAGCAGCAGAGTTTTTCAATTTTTGTTTAAAAATTTCAGACTGACAATTTCCCTTCCTAATCAATCATCCGCAAATTAGTCCAATTGGTTCTAATCCGAATAGACCTAGATAATCAATTAAAATTTAACGTCACGCTACTAGCACTCAATCTTATTGGGATACGTCAAAAAGAAAACAAACAACGTATTCGATTTGGCGTATCGATTTTAAATATTAACATCACAAAAAAAAACGATGAAAAATAATGGGACCATCATGCGATTTTGGAAATATGGGATAATGCAAATCCCATAAAGACGGTGTCCAGCACCACTATCTGGGTCTCGTTTGGATTGATGGCGTGTTATCTTTCAATATAAATTGTTATGTCTATTTGTATTTTGATGGTGTTTTTATTCGTATTTTTCCTTTTTCTTCATGAGATTTACACATCCTTCTGACTCTCGGGTCAAGTTAAATAGTTTTAGTTAGATTTTTTGATTTTATCAAAAAAAAATTATTATAAGCGGACAAATTTAACAAGGCATTAATGTCATTAATAAAATGAGCAAAGCTTTTCGTCTAACTTTTCATATAGTGCCATCGCTTTTTTGGTCGACTTCCAAATAAGATTCTGAGCTCATTTTGGTTTATCACAATTTTATTTGATCTCAGTTCATCATGTTTGCATCTTCCCGTTAAATATCAAACTCTGACCGTTATCACGAAACAATGTAATCAAATAAACCGCCAGGTATATTAAAATTAGCTTTAATATGATAAAGATATTTGGATTGGGGAAAAGGATTGTACCATTAGACTTAATCGATCGCGATGTTATCTTTCTTCCCCAATCTCGTTGCCCCACAACTCTCTTATTTGCTAACACTTTCTTCGAATAATGTTTCATCTTCATCTTCACCTTCTTCATCTTCTTGTTCCTTTGTAAAACTGACATCATTGCACTCATATTCGGAATTTTCAAAGTTGTATTGTTTAGAACGTCCGAATGACATTCAGTGAGATGGAACCAGCACGCTTCAAACACGACGATCAATTTGGTGAGTTCATATTTGCACTCTTCAATGATTGCGAAGTTCGAATGTCTCAATTAAAATAAAATATTTAAAATAAATAAATAAAATTCCTACTAGTTTTTTTTACCCTCCATTTTCCTCAATTGAAATAGTCTGGAAAATCTGAAATGTGTATATCATCAAGCTTTTGTGCAAATTCAATGCGAATTCGCTGGCTATACTCTAGCCTTGGTCTCAAACAATTCGAATAGCTGACAAAAGAAATAGAAATCAATCATCAAAATTTTGAAATAGACGACGTTGATTTTAGGAATGAGCCTCGTTTTTCGGTTTCAGATTATCTGAAAACAATTAAATTATAATTATGACGCGTGTCTCTCAAAATTGTGAGTAAATTGCGAAAGAGTTCATATTGCAATTTTTTTTTTGCAAAATCACGTAGTCAAACCGATATCCATTTCGGCCAATGTTCATTGACTCATACTTTTTGACTTGACTCATGATTTTTGACTCATAAAAATTGTATCATGATTTTTTATTCTTTGACTCATGATTTCTGACTAGTGATTTTTGACTAATTTTTTTTTTTGACTAACAATATTTGACTAATGATTTTCTGAATTTTTTTAGTTGAGATTCCTGCAGTTTTTTCAGTATTCAATTCTGTTTTTTTGGCCAATATTGATGGGTAAGAAGCTGAAGGGTGGGAGGAATTGGGAGAAATGTTAACACAGTTTTTATTCGATAACATATTTATTAAAAACTTTTAAAATTAATCAATCATTGAAATTTTCGATAGATCATTATACCGTTAAAACTTTATCAAAATGGTACTTCTAACAAAACAGCCTTCAAAAAACTTCTCAAAGTATAACAATGTCTTATTTTTTGAATATACCGTTTTTCCTGAATTTTGATGAGAAATCGAAAATTATGTCGTTTTAAAACAGGCCTGACCGTATAAGCTAAAATAATTTGCAAAATAAATTAATAAAAAATCACTTATCGCGTTATTCCATCCATTTCCCTCTTTTATTCACGCTCAATAATGAATGATATCGAATAAAAACTGTGTTTAGTTGTTTTCATTAAAATAACGGAGACTACTAAAAAATATCAAATCATACATATCATTTGGCCTACTACGGATATTCGTTTAATGTTACAGTCGATTCCTTCGGTGGATCCGCTTAGCTGGGATTACGCTTCTCATTGAAATCGATAAGCGATGAAATGCCAAAAAAAACAATTTTTAAGCTTACAGAAGTTAGAAGAACTTTTTTTCCTTTCAGTAATAATCTTTCCCCCATTCAGTAATAACATTTCTTCCAATTCCTCCCACCCTTTAGCTTCTTACCCATCAATATTGGCCAAAAAAACAGAATCGAATACTGAAAAAACTGCAGGAATCTCAACTAAAAAAATTCAGAAAATCATTAGTCAAAAATTGTTAGTCAAAAAAAAATTAGTCAAAAATCACTAGTCAAAAATCATGAGTCAAAGAATAAAAAATCATGATACAATTTTTATGAGTCAAAAATCATGAGTCAAGTCAAAAAGTATGAGTCAATGAACATTGGCCCCGGCAGAACAATGTTTGTCTGTTTGTGACCACATGATTGATAAATTTCTAGGTACACTTAATAGTGATAACTCACGAGATCTTCTCAAAATCAAAAATTGCCCAAAATTTTGTCGAAGAAAAAATTAGACCAGCTGGATGTTTTCTTTTGTGAAATAATTGCCATAGTGTGTTGCCCACAAACTATAGTTTTCTAGAAGAAAGAAATGTTTGGCGAGTTTTGAGACGACGCAACCGTTTCGATCTCTCTATTTACATTTGAGAGCATTTTTTGTGAATTTTTCCGATAATTGTTGAACCTTTTAAAAATCCGCAGGAGCCGGCACAAGCGGTGCAATCGAATCGGGAGCCTCGTGTTTGGTATGCGGACGGATGGCCAACACCGGCCATCATTACGGTGTGACGGCATGTCTCGGATGCAAGACATTCTTCCGAAGAGTCGTGCTTCAGGCAAACTCGCCAAAATGCAAATATAAGAATCAGTGTCGATTAGAAAAAAGTGAGAAATTTGCGGTGATGGGAAAATGAACATCAGAAAATTTAAAGGCGCAAACGCAAAACGGCTATGCAGAAGTTGTAGATATCTCAAATGCAAAGAAGTTGGAATGACCGAAGAAGGTAGCAAAAGAGTTTTGAGAAGAGATGACCATTTCCAATTGTTTGTAGCGTTGCATCCCGGAAGAGATGTGATAGGAAGACGTCATCGTCATTCGGAAGATTCGTCGCCGATGTCAAACTCCTCGATAAATCAGAGTCATGAAATTGTAAGCACTTCATTGAAGACCCATAAAGGCTTTATGTATGTTATAATTGTGATAATTGATTTCGATATGAATGTCATATGAGTAGACTAATCTAGTTTATTTTTCCCACTAAATTCTCACGTTTATCGCACAAACCACAAATTTTTGGACTTGGTTCAATTAAGAAAAAATGCCGTATTTTTGATTTTTTTGAATGTCGTTTATTCTCCATTCGATTCCAGGAAAGCCCTTTAAACTTCAACCAAGACGATATCGATGTGCTCGAAGCAATTCAGGAAATGGACATAGAAATACGACAACGAACTGCACGCTTGAGAGGACAATCGCCCAAAGAGAAACAGTCGTTCAATTTTTATAGTCCGGTAATTGAATTGAAGCATTTTTGGTTGACCAACATATTCCAGACGTGTAATTATTCGAATGTGGCGGTTAACCACAGTATAGGAGGTTCGCTGAAAGTCGACATCTCACTATTACGTGAATGGGTTAGCCGTGTGCCGGACTTTACCCATCTCACCGACAAATACCAAGTAGATTTGCGCTTTTTTCAATTTTTTGCCCGAACCGACGCTGATTTAGAGCGAACACTCATCAGAATAAATTGCAGCAATATTTGTTGAGGCGATTTTGTCTACGATATACTGTTATAGAGCATGGGCTATTCACTGTCCAGATGCCGCCGCACAAGAACGTTTGGTGAGATGACTCGATCTCAGAATCGGATAGGAATTGCATGGATTACAGGTTCTTATCGGACAGGACGTGCCTGGTTAGCAGCATGATCGACATCCCCGATGAGATCAGGAGCCTCTTAACACCGGCGATAATTGAAGAGCAGAAGCTTCTAGCTCCTTTCACGTCGATGTTGATTCGCGAGGTTGCTGATCCATTGAGGAACCTGAAGCCCACGTCAACGGAAATTGCAGCGATCAAAGTGTTGATGCTCTTGAGTGAGCAATAATTAAATAAGGTTGCCACTAATTGATCAATTGTAGAGCCGACATGTCTTCGGGAACTGAACGCCGGTGAACTAGCAGGAAGCGAAGACATCGAAGCGGTGTTGAAGACACGAAACCGAGTGATCAGTGGATTGCACTCGCACTACGTCCAAAAACGGATGGGCGTTGAAGATATTGCTGTTCGACTTGGAGAGGTTTGTACAAACTTCGTTTCGATTTATACTTTGACTCGTTCAGCTGCTAATGCTCATCGGAGGAATCGAAGTGTGTGCTGATCGTGCACTCGAGGAAATGCACATGCTCCGCGTTTTCAATCTATCGTCGTTCGACGCGAGCTGCTCGGATGTGATTTTCGGATTCAACAGGGATTTCTAAGATCTGACTAATTCGTTTTCAGAGGTTTTTCATTAATAAACGCATATTTGTGAACATATTGGCTTAGTCTTGAAAATTGAGAAAAAAAAAGAATTCATTCAAAGTTATCTATTTAATTTGTTATGAATAAAATGTTACTATGGATGTTCAATATTCTGGAGTTCAGATATTTGCTATTAAATTCATTGTCCAGGTAATAGGAAAATAGCCCCAAACCGATTTGATTGGAAGGGACCAGCAGAGGGATCCGTTGGCTGCAAAACACTGAATCTATCGAAGTGCTCGAAGATTGAAAAACCTTCTCCTGGTCCGTAAAAAGGGCCATTCGATCTTCTGGTGTTCCCATCAGCTCCTTCTCATACCTGTCCTGATCACTTTTCTGTTCCATAAAATTCTAAACTGAGTCCTATTTCAAAAGCGAAACATGTCGCCGACTTTTAGATGCTCTATAAATTCTTCTTTTGTCATTCCTTTGATGGCCAACCGCACGTTTTGCATTTCGCCCACTGCAATTATGTGTAAATACCTTTTGTGGAAGGAAAAAATTGAAGTTTGGCTGAAGAATTGAATTAAAAGAATCTTACACGAAAGTCCGGAGAATAGGAAATTGATTTTGAAACGGCCGCCACCCGGACCCTCATCCGAATCATCTTGTGGCTCTTCAATGATAATATAAAAAAAAACAATAATTGATAATGTAAATTTCTACCTTTTTTGGATTCCTTCTCTTTCTTCTTCTTATCTTCCTTGCTTTTCTTTTTATTCTTCTTTGTATTTTTTGTTTTCTTCTTGGTCGCTTTTTTGCGAGCCTTGGCAGCCTTTCGTTTTGCTTTTGTCGCACGTTTTGCATCTTTCCGTTGTCTGGACGAGATTTTAATGAAAACCATGCAAAACTCGCCGATAATACTCACTTTTGTCTTCGTTTCTGCTGTTTTTGTTTGGTGGCGGTTTTGCGTTTCGCCTGCTTCGTCTTCGCCTTGTTCAATTTCGACGGCTTCTTTTTTGCGGCATTGTTTTTGGTCTTGCTTACCGGCTTTTTCGCTACCGCTTCTTCAATAATCCCAATTAATTAGGTCTCTCGAATCTGGCGAATCTCACTCTTTGGCGGCATTCAATAAAAATCTGTATATATAAAATGAGGGATTCACGTCTTCCGGTGCCCACGCATCATTAAAATCCCTTGATGGTCGGCTCAAACTAAAAAAGAACTTCTAATGTGATGGTTTTTTCGTAATGATTGACGTACAGAATTGAACAACGAATAGAAATGGGAAATTAAGCTTTTTGCTGTTGTTGGCTGACATGAGAAATCAACTTAACGGCCGCGATCACAGCTAATACTCCCAATTATGTCCTATGTGGGCATAATCTGCTATTTGGGTCTGCGCGAGTCGTATTTGCGGGCCCCGCCCCGGTGAATACTCAGAAGGGTTCGCGCGGGTGATTTGTGTTCAATGGGAATGGAAGGGTCCGCGCGGGTGAAACACGAGGGACCCGCTCGACGAAAGGGTTTGCCCCTCAATTATCACCCGCGCGGGGCTCGCCAACTTTCACCGACTATGTGACAAAAAATGAAAGTATTTTTCTTTGATTTTTTCATTCGAATTATTGATCACAGAGTATTCAAACGGTAATAGAAGAATACAAATTGGAAAAATGAACCCAAAGAAACTGGGTAAAGTAGCTTTTCCGCTTTTCCGCATCAATTTTTAAAATGTTTAATGTTATTTTCAAACGGTTTTTGAGTTTATTTTTCTTCATAGTACCATAATCTTTAATAGTTAAATATGTTAACCATTTGGCCCATTGGGCAAAACTGGAGAACTTGGCATCACATTTGGAAATTATTTTTCGACACGGTTATTAAAGGCGCACAATATTATTTGAAACGGCAACAATACAACTACATATAACAATAGAATAAAACGTAGAAAAAATTCGTTAAGAAATATGACAATTTTTGTTCTATTCAACTCAAGACTGAGCAATTACAAAAAGTTGTGGATGATTAATTTAGTGTGTATCTATTTTCATACGTCAACATTGAACAAAACACGCATTGAAGCATGAGCAGATACCTGGTGCAACGGCTCGTTCTTTTTTATTTGTTTCATACTCCTGTAGCTTTTTTTTGGGTCTTCTCGGAACAAAATTCCAAACCTCTCATACATTTTTCATCGGTTTCGCCCACCGCAAATTTACTTTCGCTTTTTGGTTGTCAATTGTCACCGTCGAGTTGATTTCAGTAATTATAGGACTAATCATTTGATGAGGTTTTGTCGCGAAAAAACCGACCACATTAATGCACTTGGCTGTCGGATTTACATAGGATTATTAGGAGGTTGCGTGCCATCAACATTAAATATTTACCACCTCCCAAATTTTCTTTGCTCATCATTTTTTTTTCAACCAAGCAGATCCCATCTTCAATTTATTATTGTTTTCTTGCCAAATATGGACCAAATCAACATTTCTCTAATATTAGTAATCAATTCTCTTCTTCTGTTTTTAGATTCCCATATATTAAAAAATATTGTTTAATCAAATTGGTGTCCAAAAAATATATTCTTTGTTTTTTTGTTAGGATGAAATTAGACACAAACGATAGTAAATAAACGTAATTTATTCTTTTCCAATTCTCAAAATTGTTTGAATTAAAATCATTGAATTTTGCTAAAAAAAAAGTAAGCAGTTAAAGCTTGAAACTTTTGATTCAAACTCAAATATTCTAAAGAATAATGGGCATCGTTTTTTTTTTTTTAAGTTGAGTGCTTAAATTAATGTGAAGGCTTTATTCCATTTTTGCTCGAAATTTGGGGTTTTTTGTATAATTCTTGGTTTAATGAGAACGACGCATGCTTTGTTTGAAACCATTGCATCTGGCAATTTTTTCTTGTTAAACTAGATGTCTTCTTCCTCAGAATTTATTAGAAGCACTCCAAATAAGTAAATGCATTAATAGGAAGATAATGAATATTAATGTTGCTTTGTACTTAAAGTCCTTGTTTTCGTGATCATTATGTAGAAAATGAATTCTAATTATCTGGGTTGCTCATTGAACCGCTCTTCATATTATTTCAAGGATCCTTTTTTTTTGCGTCGGGCTCATTTTCAGCTAATTATCCAACAATCCATGTTGCTGAGGTCCGTTTTCTCATCTTCTGTGAATCTTCTTGCTCAACCGACTATATCGAATTAGGCTGTTCAACAATAGAAACCCCCTGAGAAGAATTATTCAAAAATTTTCAAGTTCATTTTTTGTTGTTGTTCAATTCGATCAAAACTCTTATTTTGCTACACCCTCGGGCGTTTTTTTTTTGCATCAAACAAATAGTGAAAATGTCCTTATTTTTTTCAGAATTTAATCGAAATGATCCATAAATTCTTCGGATTCTTCTTTCTGGTGGCCATCAATCGAATCAGCGGATTTTGTAAGTGTATTATTTGAAATTAAAGTTTAAGATTGAACAAAAAATGTGCTCCACGTAGACATTTATGGGACCATCACATTTTATCGAAAACATTTGTCAAGTTGGGACCCTATAATTTCTCAGGAATCGCTTGAATGATTTAGTGTCTCACTGGCTTCTTGTTTTCACGGTTCTCTTGTTTTGACCTAATAAATGCAAAACATATTGAGACGAACGCTTTCGAATTCTATACGAATCATTAAGTTAGGTAACATTTATTTGTTACATATCACAATTATAGTTAGTCTTCGATTTCGGCAATTATCCGAAGAAAAACATTTGACCAGAGATGAACAAAAAAATGAGCTTTGATCCATTATTCCATTTTTATTCAGTTTCAAGATGTTAGAACACTTTCAGTGTATTTTATCCAACTAATATTTGATTTGAAACGGCTTATTGTAGAAAATCGTTCTACTACTCATTTTATTTGAATGGCGAGTTATCACAATTTAACCCGGAATCGAGCATATTTTAAAGCCTCGACTGTAAATAATCCCTAAAGGTTTTAATCAATTTTTGAATTCTTTTATAACTTTTCAAAATCGAGAAATTATTGTTTGGACAAAAATTATTTTATTTAATTAGTGTGCTCTGAAACCTCTAAAATGGTCAGACGCCTTACACCATTTGAAAAAATTTTATTGAAAATGGAAAAAAATCTGTAATTTTAATTAGGTCTATAGATTTCGTAAAAATTGTTTATGCAAACAAATTCGGGTAAGCAATAATAAAAGTCGTAAAGCCGTATTCGGGAACTCTCATAAAGGAGGTCTTGAATAGCAGTGTCAATCCATATAAGTCGATTGTAGCAGAAATTATTAAAATGTGATTTAAGGCTTAATAGCACTGTTATGTCGTTTATTTAAAAAAGCAGAAAAAAATTATTTACAAAAATTATCCTAGGTTAGTTAATGTGCAATTTTTGAGTTAATTAATGTACATATAATTATCCAATAATTATGCATTCTATGAAAATGTACTTAAAACTTACATCACTTTTTAGTGTTTTTGAATCGAATAAATAAATTAAATCAAAAATTTTCACTTTTCATTTTTTTGAATTTGCATCCAACACTTGTGGTCCTTTATTTACTTCTGGTCCTTTATTTGCTCGATGTGTGATGTTCCTGGCAAATCTCTGATGTTTTACGAATACCATCCATGAATGTCCAGGAAATTCATAATTAGAACTTTTCTCGTTTTGTTTTTGCTTGTTTATCAAACTTTTCCTTGTTGATTTTAATTTCAATTTCCCTCAATTACTCCTTCCGTTTTTTCTATTTGGTATGCATTAAAATGCGACAAAATATGTGAATTTCTATTATTATTATTATTTTTAAATTCTAATTAATTTCAAATTCCTGCAGAGAATTTATGATAATCGAGAGTAATTTTCGGGGGGCTCGACTTCATCGTTCAAATTTTTAGCAAATTTTCACAGTCTTCGGTGTTTGTTTTGCATTATTTCAGCTAAGAATTAGTATGATGAGTCTGATCCTTATAATCAAATCTGGATCGGCACCAAATAACCACCACGGAGCTTGAAGTTTGAATATAATGGGCTTCATTTTGCATTTTCGCTTGTTTCGATAAGACCAACCCAAATGCGGTAATTTATTGTCCGCCATATTCTCTTGGGCCTTTTTTTTTAAATTTTATCTTACTTCCTTTTATTCTTCAATCTGATAAATATCTTGATAAAATATTCTTTATTTTTCTAAATTTTCTTTCGTAAATAAATAGTTTTTTCGAGTAAATTATTTCATTCAAAACCTACTTTTCAGATTTTTTTTTCAACTTTTGAATAATTGATTCTAAACCATAAATTCCGAAACTTGATTAATTTCCTTTTGGCAGAGGCTCATCATATATTCCAATTCATCATGCTCAACGTCATTTTTCTTAAAACAAGCAAAAGCTGGATTCAAATGTTCTGGAAATATTTAATACATACAGATTTTTCATTTTGATCTTATGATAGAAAAGTTTTTCTTCATTCTTGCAGGAGATGCTCCAGCTCGGACCCATTAGGAATTCTCTTGAAGGTCACGTAAAACAACAAAATTATATATTCAGCACTTCCGTGACTTCAACAATAACCTTTTCAATAAGCTTCTACTATTTTGGTGTTGTGACTTGTTTTAGAACAAGTTTTAACTATGCATAGCATAGTTGAAACTAAAATTGTCATAATACTCACAACTTGGCAACCTCCTAAGAGAGAAATTCTCGAAAATTTTGCACTTGACTAACTTTTCTCTGGTTTGTTCAATTTTTTTTATAAATAAATTTCAGTTTCAGAAACTTGTGTTTGATAGATTTACCCTTTTTGACAACATTTTTCATATCATGAGTTATTACATTTAATTCCAGATCGTTTCTTGTATACAATTATTTTATTCTCGAGACCCATTACTATGATATGGACTCGATAATACTTCGTGCAATAGTTATTCGGCATTCGAATGAATCATAAAATTGGTCTTTCATTGTTTCGCTTTTTTTCTTGTCTTTTCCGCTCAATGAATGGAACCTTTTCGGCGGAAAACTTTCCTTTTTTTCATACTTTTAAAAAGGAAAAGTGACTTTTTGAATGAACCGAATTTCGACGTATCGAGAATAAATCAACGAATCCCTCTAATTTTCAATGTGCTCATCTTTCCATTTTTTTTCTTGAAATGAACGTGCTTTTTCACCCCACATTTTTCGCATTTCTATACCTTGAGAATTGAATTTCCTGAGTGATTTTCGAGTGCCATTTCTTCTAGCTTTTTACATATTTCTGTTTTTTTTTTCTAGCGCTCTGTCATTCCATTTATTTTGTTTTCAAGTCTTTCAATTAAGACAACAATTGTCTATTTTTGTTGGCGACCAAAGACAAAATATAAAAGGGCGATCCTTCTGGACCCGATGGGTAAGTTGTTTTAAATCAATAAAATTGAATTGTACTTTAAAACTCGAAAAAAAACCAATCAAGAATTTTATAATTGGAAAACATAGGGAAAAGCTTGTATTGGTTGGTAGAAAAATGCTCAAAATAAAAGCAATATTCCAGACAACGAAACTACAACAATACTGACTAATGTATTCAGCGGCTACGATCGTCGAGTTCTTCCATTTACACATGGTCCCGTTCTTGTTAATATGACGATTGTGCTCGGAATTCTTATTGAACTGGTATAGTTATATACAGAAAATGATTAGAACTTACAGCAATTCGAGCTCGATTGAACTGAAATTTATCAATTTATAAAAAATTTCAGAAGGAAAATCAACAGTTAGCAGCTTACGTGATCTCTCACACCCAAAGATGGTATGACAGTCGCCTACAATGGGATCCGTCAAAATATCGAGGACAGAGTGAAGTAATTGTCCCACAAAGTATGGTGTGGATACCAAAACTCTTTGTATATAACAGGTTGAAATTTCGAATATTGCTCGAAATAATCCGAAACGCACATTTTCAGCCTTGAATCGAAAGACATGCTTACTGAAAATCGCGCAGACGTCAGATTATATCACAACGGAAAAATCAAAATAAACATCCCACAATATGTTCAGGCAATCTGCCGAATTCAGACCCAAGCATTTCCTTTTGATTGTCAGGTGCTCAAAATGAGCTGCCAGTTCAATTGTGAATTGTTTTCAGTTTTGTGCGGTGGCGTTAGCTTCTCCTCTTCTCAATGTCAATGAGATGATTGTGAATGCGACTCAGCCTCCAAGTGATTCATATTTCACGGTACCTGAAGCAATTTATTTATTCTGTTTCCGTCGATGGGACATTCATGAACATCAAAGCTCAAAATGTGTTTGGAAGACGATTCAAATTCAGCTTACCAAATTCGAATTTCCGAAAATTGCGCAACATCGTCAATAATATTTATATATTCATATCCATGAAAAAAAAATTCACTTTTGAAAATATTGAATAATGATGAATTGTTTAGGGGAATGCTGAATGGTATTTATTCAATGTCACCGTTCGCAGTATGACATTTGATGAGGAAGGAGAATCTCGTGTTGAGGTACGAATGCTAATCAATGTTGAATTTAAAAAAAATGATATTTGATCAGATTCATTACATTTTCCATCTTCAACGTCGTCCCATCTACTATATAACCGTCATTGTCGCTCCAACGTTTTTGATTTCGGCACTTTCCATTTTGGGAATATTTAGTCCCGGTACGAATGACGGACCAAGAAATGAGAAGGTAACGATTCCAAGAAAAAAAGAAATCAAGGAATATTAAACTACATTACTAACGCAAATATTCTGTTCTTGCTGTGTGATTTTCTAACCGTTAATGTTTTTTTCTAGACTCAGAGTAACGAGAATGTAAGTTGAAGCTCATTCACGCTCTTCCCCTCAATCGTGTGTCATTCTTAACACTTTATTTTAGCATGTTTTGTATATCACCTTTTGGTTTTATAATTTATATTGTATTTTCTTATTTACCTACCTAACCAGTGATGTGAGGGAAATTTCCCGATCTTGAAATTTTTCTATCAAAGATTACTGTAGATGTTTAAAGGTACATTTGGGAAAACCCGTAAAAATGCACAGTGGAAAACATTCAAAACTTCGACTAGCTTTTCGTTCGTTTTTTCTCGTCTTTCGGAATCGGAATAATTGGCTTGTGGGTGTTTCCCGCACATCCCTGCTACCAATGATACCTTGGGACTTCATCAGTGAGCTCAATGAATGTCGGAAACTTGCAGGTCTCGCTTGGTCTTGGAAGTCTACTCGCCATGACAGTTCTTCTTGGAATCGTCGCTGGCGCTATGCCAAAAAGCAACGACATACCTTTATTAGGTAAATTGCAGAACAAAAGTATGCATGTGAAGAATATGAGTTGTAGGATATTATATCCTTGTGGTAATTGTGTTATGCGCTGTTGCTGTGGGAATCTCAATGGCATTCTTAGCGGTCAGTCGGCATTATATTCAAAAAGGTCAACATTTTCTATCGTTGCTCGAAAATTGATTAAATTGTAGAACAAATGCCGTCGAAGCGCCTTCCTTAATGAATACCGAAAACGGAGATCGACGGTGTTTCGCGGAGCTCACCACTATCGCAGGATAATGAGAAGTTTGAATTATTCGCAAACAAATGCTGGAAATGATTTTAATTTTAATTTTAGTTCAATCATCGAAAATCCCTGAAATTCGAACAATTTGCCAAATGATAGAGGAAATTGCCGAATCGCATCGAAGTATGAGAAAAAAGGCCGAACAGAAAGCAAGCAAGAAATTGGTTAGAATTCTCAAATTGTTTGAGTTTCAAACAATTTGAATTTGTTGAAAAATTGATCAGTGATTCCATCAGATCGAGTTGGAATGGGCTCGAGTGTTCGCCCGTTTCGACTATTTCTTCCTCGTCGTTTTCGAAACTCTTAACCTGTCGGCTCTCGCCGTCTTCCTTCGAGTCGCCTGGCTTCCGACACCCGAACTTCGCGAACAAATTCTTTAACTTTTTATCTGCTGGTATATTGTACATACATAAATGAAACACTGGTTTTATTAATCACGTGTTTTTGGATTTTAGAAACACAATGAAATATAATCAAGAAATTAATGAATCAATGATATTTCGATAAATAATGACAAGGAACAACGTTTATGCGGAACAAACCAAATCGAGAAGACAGTTGTTTCGAGCGCGCAATCAAGGTGCTCTTTCGATGGTAAGTAAGCTTATTTCAAAATTCAAACCGATATTCTAATTTAGTAACCATAAAATTGTTCACTGAATTCATATTATTAGTTTAACAATAATTGCCCAATTAAAAGCGATGGAAAAAGTGGAAAAAAAGATCCATTATAGTTTAGAACTCTCATTTTATTGTCGAATACCGAATCCATAATATAACATGGCATTCAAATTTAAAATTACTTTAAATAAAAAATTGTTTTTCTTTTTTCAATAAAAGCAATCTAATCACGTGATCCATATTCACCAATTATCCTTCATTTTCCATTTTTAAAATTCTGGACGTCGACGATTTTATTGTCCGTGTTCACCGTATCGCCAAGCAAATCTGAAAGAAAAAACCAATACAATGGAATGAAGATGAATGAGACATAAAATTGTGAGTAATTCAAACAATTGTTGAAAATTAATATGCCGAAAAAACGAGAACATTAGTTAGAATCGATAATTTTAAACAAAATTGAAAATTGTTCCTTATTTCGTCAATTTTGTCATATGCAGATTTTGTCCTACAGTAATCGCAATTTTTCCACGTGTTCAATTGCCACGCTCTTTTCATTCATTTTCAGTTTTTCTTTAATTTTGCTGTAAATTTTTGGCTGATTTCACTTATTTGCGAATTATTTATTTTATTTGTAATGAAAACGTATTAAATTAGCTGTATTGCAGACAAAATATGAATTTGCATCCGTCGGCGGCACTCGGCATTTTGAATTTCAAGTGTTCAAAGGGCGAAGAAATTTCGCAAAAAATCTGCTGCGTGATTGGAGGCTGACAACTATCCAGGCGGGGGAGCCAACGTCCAGGGGCTCGGAAGCTCTAACCCGCCAGCAAAAATGCTTAATTTAGTTAGGGGTAGTCTGTCGGTTGTTGTCTCACAACAGCTCATTGGAGCTGGGGCGCTTTGGCGCGTAATTTTCTGATTGCCCTTTGACGCTTATGGATTCGAATGTTGCTACTCTCGGAAATCAGTTTAATGCAACTTTTTTGGTGTTTTTTAATTGGCAATTTCAGAAAGCTCGAAAACATTGAAAGTGCCTGATCGAATGAGATTATATTCCGCCGTGTTAAAATTCTGAGGAAACTCGAATCGCTCATGATGTAGTTTGCTTTTTATTTTTGAATATAACTAATCGTTTTAATTTCAGCTAATTTCAGTAATTTATCTCATTTGCTCAATCGGTTTCGACGCGAAATACACTTGTTGAAACCAGTCATTTATAGCCGCTTCCTAGGTGAAAACTGTTGGTCGACCAACAAAAGGATTTGAAAGCAGTTCGACCCAACTTCTGATACAGTGCGTTATCCCCTCTCTCTTCATTTTGTCATAATTAGTGCTGGTTTCCTAAATCGAATACTAGCCCGCCCAACATTTCGGTGCAAGATTTATATTTCGTTTTAGTATTTTTTAAAATGTTATTGAAAAATATTGGAAAATTTATTGCGAACTTTAGCATACTACATTCCGTTTGTCATTAAATACCGGGCTAATTAGCACTTAATTAGTTTTGCAACTTATTCAATTGTTTTGTTTCGTTTCCCATTTCCGGTGTTATGTTTAATATAGCGACTTCAATTTCAGATAATAGAAATGAGTCGCAATTTGCATCGAGTCGCTCAATGATTGTGGATATCCCCGTAAGAAGCGGGATTCCCAATCAATCCATGAGGCGAGTCGGAAAGATTATCTTGTGTATAAGGTTGGTGGTTTTGCATATTCTATTTCAAATTGTTCGGCATGTTTTATTAATGTTCGAAGAAACTCCGGTAAATAAAAATTCAATGGAATTCGAAGATACCTTCTTTATAATCGAAATCGAATATAAATTAATCTGTTTTGAATTATCCTAATATACGATATCAAATTTTAAAAATGAGAATTAAATCGATTTTGACGATTTTTGAATCGATATCAAGTTTTCAAATCAACTTTAAACACTTTCTCAATCGAATTTCAATTCTTTTCCAATCGAATCATGTTAATTTATATTCAATTTCCGTTCGAATTCGATTGATTTTCATTTATATGAGAAAGTATTTTCAAAAATTGGCCAAATGCCAGGAAAAATCCAGAGGTTTCGCCGAGCGGTGTGCGCTTTCAACTATAATTATTCTTATCCCGTCAATCTCCACATGGTTTTTTTTTCAAGACCGTTGTTATTGGTTTTTGGCATTTCGCCCAGGAGCGCATCGCGCGAAGTCGGCAATATTAATAATAATTAATAATTAAACATTTCCACGAATCTCAGCGAGAACTGATTCAACCGATTCAAATTTTCAAATTGACTGACTCGATTAATTACCAATCAAAAAATATGTTTTGAATTTCGAGAATAAATTGGAATATTTTCAGGGTTCCATCGTTTTTGCTGCTCTCTGTTTCAGTTGAATCTGAATCAATTTGGACGTGCGATGATTATTTTGCTCTTTTTTGTTTGTTTTATCTATTTTTATTTTTATTTGATTTTTTGAATCTTCACCACAAACAGGTAGGTCTTTATTTTATTAACGGGACATATTTGAAAATGTTTAAAAGGTTGTGTGACGAAGGGAACTTTTGTGTAGTATGTGTTAAGGCATCCACGCGGGCGAAATCACTTCCCGCGTCCGCTTGTTATTTCCTTGCGGGTACCCGCATTTTCCCCTGCTCGCATGGATTCCTTACTTTGTGTAATTATGTGACGGCATCCGGAATGTTCGAGAAGTTTCCTGTTGCTAAAAAATGTTTAAGTTGTCTATCTAGAAAATTTCCGAGAAAATTTCGCGAATTTTTTCAACCAAACATTACTGTAGATTTTCGAAGATACATATAGGAAAACAATAAAATATTTAGAAGCAATAGGAAGTTTCAATTATACATATAGGATTTCGTTCATTTTTGCTTCTTTCTGATTTCTTAACATCGGTTTCTGTTGAATGGTAGGTTTTTCGTCGTATTTTTATTGTCAAAAATTAAAACAAAATATTTTCCTAGATTTGTGGTTCCGGTAACTCAAAACCAATCGGGTCCGATAATTATCGGATTTTTTTTTTGGATCCTGTTGATTATTTTGTCTGAACCGATTTATAGTAGTTTAAATCTGACTGGTTATCATTCGCATCCGATTTGAAGTGAAAACCCTCTTTTTTATAACCAAAAACACCTAAGCCTAATTTTTTGAGAACAGACGGAAATTACAACCTTTCAATAAAAAATTACAATCTTTGTTTTTTTCTAGAAAAAAAGCAGGTAGACTGTTTTTTTTTAAATTTTTTTTCGAAATTCAATGCGGTCTGTTTTTTCGGTCACCTGTTGAAATAAAGTGTCTTGAGTGTTCTTTTTTGTGTCCCGAATCCTGGACAACTTGAAAACGAAAGAAGAAAAAACGCAACATTTTTTACCATCCCTCTGATTTGTCCCTCTACTCTACCGCAACCAGAGTTGGGCGGAATGAATAATTTGAAAATGCGGGATAAAATTTGCTGTTTTGCGGAATGCGCAATTCCGGAGGCTTAGGTTAGAACGGTTGTTCAATTAAATAATATTGTTTAACACTTCGCTTTGGCCAGAGCACCAAACTCCTCTATCTGTTTCCATATTCGCAATTTTTCATTTTTAATTAAAAGTAATTTTAGTCTTATTTGTTGGCTTCATATTTAATTCTAGCTCGAGATCATATTGGTTGAAAAAAATTCGAAAATACTGCACAATTAAGGAAATAATTGAACGGTTATAAGAGAATTCGCAGAATTTGATGAATTATTGAAATTTTGAGGAATGGGGTGATGTTGGGGAGGGTGGATTGGGATTTCGCATTTTTGGTGCGTCGCTTTTTACGAGCGAACAGACATTAAAAAATAATTAGAATCGTGTAGCAAACAGTTCTCGGTGAAAACCGAAAGCTTTTTTTCGAGCAGTTCTCTCTTTAAACAACTTTAAAGGCGATTCGTGCGGCCTATGTACAATCGGATTTTCTTCGTCGTTTCATCTACGTTCTTCTCAAATTTTGTCAGTCGTGCGAGCTGTTTCCGTTTATTTCAGAAAGGTTGGCTGAACCGGAAGCGATTGTTCCGATCTGCTCGACGCACTGTTTCGAAACCTGGGTATGCGTCATTCGTCATACTCTTGCCAAAAATAAAAATATTTTTTTTGCTAGTTTTTTTTGTGAAATGTGAACCCCAAATACGCGTACGAAAAATGCTGATTTCTCTTTAAATTTTCAAAATTATTTTTTTTACGAAATCCGTCAGGCGAATTCCCGAAATTTTGAACAATTGAACCAAATTCCTAAATTTTGCTGAATAAGGAGGAGCACTGATTCCTTGCCCTTCATCAATCACTCCTGTCTTAAATTTTGAGAATACAATTTCAAACTAGGTTTATTCAATAAATTATAAACAGTCGATCAGATGAACGAACGGAACACACAAGTAGAAGACCGGTGGAGGGGGAAACAAGAAGAAAGAGATCCGTTAAAGAAAGGAACTGAATGAACAGGAAAAGAATGGTGGTGGGAATCAGAGATAGGAATCATCATTAACAGAGGAACGGTCATTGAGGAGGCATGAATCGGTGCAACATGCTGAAATGTCATCGTTGGTTGAGAAAGGTGAAAGTAACACACATTCAGGCTCTTGACTCTGCATTGACTGTGCTTCTCTGGTGAGTAAGAGGTTCGAGTTGGCTCCCGCCTCGTTTTGGTAAGAGACGAAAGCAGTATTCGTGGTACACGGATGGAAAAGCTCCGTGAAGCGACTGCAAACAATCAAATTGCGGGTATTGGCATCAGAATTCGCAAACCTTTTCACCATATTGCGGAATTTGTCAGAGAAAACGAGATACACAAAGAAGGACAACGAGATGTTGCACAGCCCAAGGAATGAGCCGATAGTGTTCCAGATGCAGATCAAACTGCCGTTTATCGCATCGGGACCACTGATAGTTGCGTAAATGAAAACTGGGATGCATGGGAGTTCGGCGATTAACTGAAATTCCGACTCCCATTGTAATTGTTCTAGCTTTTTAATTGTAAGAAACTCGTCATTTCTTTGTTACTTCACCTCAATTTCAATAATTTTGAAAGTCATTAGTATTATTTTTTCAAATTCAAAGTGTATATTTTTATGTTTTGAAGTTTCATACGACTATTCTAGAAATCAGTGTTAAGATTCCTCGAATTACCATTTTGAGTTATAATTAGAGCGTTTTAAATGCTAAGCCGGCTGAAACTAGAGTCAATCAAGAAATAAACACTTAAATATGCTAAATGTCATATCATTGTACATTTCGATAAAAGCTTATTACTCACTTGCAAAATCGTTGTGATCAGTGTGATCCTGGTGACGCACCGCTTTTCGCTTCTGCAAAATTGAATTTTCGATGAAGACGAAAACCTGTGATTACGTGAAATGCGAAGTGAATTCAGTTTTGCGTAAAACAAGCTTCCATAGAATCGAGGATGCCATGAATACGAGAAGTCCCATTGGAATGACAATCGCCAGGAAGAGACTGGCAACGGTATGAATCTTTTCAATAAGTACCATGATGAAATCTGGAAAGTGGATATTCAAACAAAAATGGGAAATGAGAATCCTTACCATCAGGAGCATGAATATAAACGACTGTTCGATCGCATTCTTCAACCAGCGAATAATTTCTATTGAAAAAATTCAAAAGGTACAACACGGCTCCTGTTGATATAATGACAATGTAACTTCTGCAAAAGGAATTAATAAAATACCAAGTTTAAAACAGCAAATGATTTCAATAGAAAACAATATTAACTGAATAATTCTTACCTTGACAAATTCCTTTTCGTGCATAATACTTTGGAATGTGATGGCAGAAACACGTGCAAATAGCATTCAGCCGTCATCATAACAGTGAGCCACATCGAACAGAATCCGAACAGATTGACAAAATACAATTGATATGGATAGTAGAACCAGTAAGCGTGGTCAATTCGCGATCCGGCACTCCAAACCGAAATTATACGTAGTGCTCTTGGGACCATGAAAATCAATGTCAACGAATTCATCAGCTGAAACGTAATTGATACGAGAAATTTGGAAGAAACCATTGTTACCAATCTTGTACACAACATTCGTATGGCTATATAATATTTAATATGGTCCGAATTGTAAATCAAGAGATTCACAAAGTTTCCAAAAACGGCGAAAAGAAAGATGAATATGAAGCCATAACCAATTAGGATTTTGTAGAGTTGACGCTCCTCGCATGGATCCTAAAAATTAAAACTATAGAAGGGTGGGAGAAGTCACTTGGTTACCAAAAGATTCCGACATCGCTCTTGCTGAAACAGGTTCAAAAAGTAAATCGGATTGTCCCGGGACTCATTTACCCCGAATAACTGCTGAAAATGCGCACAACTGAAGGCGAGTTGAAACACGAAATTTGAGAAGATATCAATTAGGGACTTTCGCATTGGAATCTACTCAGCGATTCGATCGCGACCAACACACTTTAGTTGGTATTTAAACAATAATGTTCTGCCGGTTAATCCAGATCAAAAATCATCCGCTTTTCGTTCCAATCGAATCGTTGAGTAGACGCGATGAATAGGAAAATTGGCTGAATGCCAAAAAAATTTAAGAAGAAGTTTCGATGCGTAAAGTGCTCTTTGAGCTATCCTTATGCATAAACCCGTAAATCTACACTTTTTGCTCTGCGCCAGACCACTGACATTGCTTTTTTGGCATTTTGACAATTTTCCTCAATCGAGCCGACAATATTATTTTGAAAACTGCAAAAATTGGCGAAATTGTTCGAACATATTCAAATTTCCAATAGTTGTTCCATTTTTCCTGATAAACTGAGTTTGACGTGACAAAAGATAATGCCGATCATCTTTCATCTCATCCTACGCACTTATTGCGAGAACATCCAAACAAGAAACACAAACCATGACCGCATCAGCATGCGTCTCCTCAATGATGATCTCAATGGTAGATGTCTCATTAAAGGCATCGTCAATCGAAGAATTCATGAAGCTGAAATAAAAATGCTAAATGAATGAGTCTGCATACATATGAAAATTAAAGGGGTGGGTGGAGGTGGTCGGGTGGAAGTCTCGCCGGTTGAGCAATGAACCGCTAACATACAGTAATCCGCCTAATTATAGGGACACGTCGAAAACACCAATTTTGGGGCGTATTTTGCACCGCCCAAAAAATCTTTCATTTTTTTGTTAGTTCGGCCTCGGGTCGTTTGAAACATCAGCAATTGGCTCGTAAAATTTTGAACATGACGTCTTAAAAACGACAGAAGCGGAAGGAAAACACATAAATATTATAGTAAAGTGCTGCATTGACTGAAACAATGACGGATTTCTCATGATCGTGGATTAAATTCAACTTATCCGATTATTGTCTATATAAGGAATTAACGTAGGCGTGGCCAAGATTGTTGAAAAAAAAAACATTATTAATCGCCAAATGACGAGTATATTTGAGGCGAATGGAAATAGGAACCCAAATGTTTGGAAAAAAAATTAATACATGAGATACATCTTTTCTATTAAAATGATTCATCCACACTCATATGCAAGTGCTTTTTTAAAATAAAAAAAAAAACACGCGAGCATCTTGAATATGGGAAAATCCCAAAACTTTCATGTATTTTTAATGTTATGACAAATTAAAAATAAAATAAAATAAAGAACAAAACGGGTTGGATATTTTTCCGAAACACGCGTAGACCTCGGGCGAGGTGAATCCGCGAAAAATTGCTGAGAAGAATTAAGAGCGTAGAAATCAGCAATTTCGAGCTTGAGATGATTTTGAAAAGCCGTCATAATTATATATATAGGCATTATAATTCCATTTTTCTAGTCATGACATTTCAAGGTTTTGAAGAAAAACACAAAGTTCGTCTGCTGTCTTCTAATATAATCAGCAGTTGAATTTTAAATACATTCCATTCTACCGTGAGCATGCCCATTCTTTCTTCAAAATTGCACAACTTACAAGGTGAAAGCTCTAGGAGCCCAAAAGCGGGGGAAAAATGACAATTTCTGTCGATATCATTCAACCTTAAGGAATATTATGTAGCGATTATTAAGCAATATCAAGTGTTAAAAACAAACAATTATTTTAAGTTACTGTAATAAATTCTAAGAATACTTAAAATCAAAAAATTAATAATAATAATAATAATAATAATAGTGGGTGAAAATCATGTGACTATAATTAGTCTAATCGACCACGCGACATTTTTGGAAGTGGTTTTTCTTAGACTATAAATAAAATGATAATTGGAAATGTTGTTCGAATTGGCAATGAATCAATCAAAGCCGAAAACGAGCGGACAAGAGCGAACGAATGATTTTGAAACTGTTTTTGATGGTTAATTATGCGTGAGGATGGGAACATCGAACGACGACCCCATCAAATTTATTGGTTTACGAGTCAGTTTGAAACATTTTTTCGAATTGAATAACCATTTCTTAAATAATAAACAACTACATATTGTTCAGTGATTCTGATGAATTATCAGGGGCTGAAGAATTTAGAAGGCTTATTATTCAAATTTTCTCCACTTTAAACTATTACCATCTCAAATAACAAACGTCGTGACAATTTGTATTTGTGCGAGGCGGTAGTTGAAAAAGAAAAACTATATTCACTGAAAATCTGCAGATATCGTGCGATTTAATTCTCATTAAATTGGTGTGTTACGAGCGGGGAAAGCATTGTTAAGAGCTTTATTGTTTTGTGGACGAATACCTTCTTCTTGAGACCATCCCTGGATCTCGGACAGTTTGTTTAGCGATTTCGACAATTCATTTTCAATGCAAAATCCGTAAAAGGCTATTGGAGGTAATGAAGAGTCGTATGCAACAAATGCGCTGATTTTGCGAAAGAAATAAACAATTTGACAATTTAACAAAAAAAAACTTTTAAAAGTTTTTCAATCAATATAAAACGTGAAAAGGCAACATGATCATACTTCGAAATTCTAATTTTGTTGTTTACTAAAAAAAAGCAAAATTTAAAGGTGTGAAGAAAAAAATTTGCAGGACCATAAATCTTGTGCCACGCGAATTTTTTTTTGAGGAATTGTTACATATTGTTAACTTGGGAATTCAAGTCAATGGTGTCAGAAGCAAAACCAAAAATCTAGAGGTAAAATCGATTCGGAGAGGAAATTGAAATGAACACTAACGTTTTCTGACCTTTTTTTTTTTGAATAATTGGTCTCAACGCAAAATTGGATGAGCTCATCAACAATTTTTTTTTGTGAAAACTGAAGAGTAAAACGGAAGGACAGGGGTGGAGAAAAAATGAAAAATAAATAGAAAGGATAGGAAATTGGACATCAATCTGCGTTGGTACCGTATATGAATCTAATCTTGGTGCTGTCGAAACTCATTTTGGGTTATGTTTGCTCAACGGCCCCCACCAAGCCCATTTCCAATCCATCTATACGATAAGTGTATTCTTGGAAAAAAAAACGCGATTAATTTAATTAGAAACGTGTGAGACATCAAAAAGCGAAGGCCTTTTGTGTCAAAAAAAAAAAAAACATGGAAAGAAAAAGGTCAGAAACTGACAGCACATTAATATGCAAATTGGGCGATCTTGGGCGATTTCATCAATTCGATTTTTTGAAAACGTTTGTTTTGGGTAGAAAATGGGTATTTGAAATGGCGTTTCAAATTATAGCCTTCGCGAATTTTGTACATATATCATATAATTAAGGAATTCAACAAAACGTTGTCTATCTTTGAAAAAGAAGTGTTATGAAGTGACACACGAGGTTCCTTTTCGCACAAATTAAAAAAAATGGGCAGTTTTGCAAATTGATTGTCGAAATTGATTGGTTTTCAAAATATTTGACGATGATTTCAAAAATAAACTGAATTTGTTAGCTACCGAAGGAAATACAATTTTTTCTGTAATATCGGTTTCAGATTGAAACAATTCTGCTATTTACGATGTCCTATGTTTCATATTCATTATTATCTCACCTGATCTTGAAAAAAAATTCCAAAAATCTGATTAAAAGTAGTTTTCGTCGCAACTTTGTAGAGTTTTTAGAGTTTACAAAATATCAAATTTCTTTATAAATCCATTTTTTACTTCGCTAAATAACTATTCCTTTTATTATGAAGGTTTTAGATTTGACTAACAGCGTCTGAAAATTGCGTTTTTATTGGTTTCCTTTAGCATTTTATGGTACATATGAAACGGCACATTAAAAATGCTTGGGTGAAAAAAATTTCTATTAAAATACAATTGAATTATTGACCTTAAATAATTGAAATTCTTATTGAAACCAAAACTACGTAGATGTTAGAAATTTAAGACAAAAATTAGAACAAAAATCATAAATTTGTTCAGTGGAAAACACTATTTTTATGGCTATAATTGGACACATCACATCATTTTGAACTGATTTTCAAAAATTATTTCGTAATTCACATATTTCATTATAGTTATGCTTAAACTATACCATATAAATATTAATAACTTCATTAATTTTTCGATATATTTTTGTGATGAAAATGACGAGTAATAAAGATTAGGAAAAAAAAACGGCAAAAAATATTGCAATCAACAAAATTGATTATTTGTTATGCATTTCTCAACTCTATTTTTGATATTTTTTGTTTGAATTTTTGACCTACAAGAAATTGGTTGCGAACGCCCCCAAAATGAATAGTGAATGAGTGTTTTTGTGTACTATTCCAAATGCATTACACTGTTTCATTGTCTCCTTATTACACTGTTTTTGTGCGGTGTTTATTGAGAACTGTCTGCTGCGAGAATCCAATTCAATGTTACTGATTTACTATTCTTGATACTATACAGATTTTTAAAGAAATAGAAAAACACTTTGAAAAAGAACTTATTTAAGCCGATTTTTCGAAATGGGTTTAAAATATATTTTTTTTACTCCTTTTTTTCAAAATCTGCATGGTGTCATATAATCAAAACTTACCATAACTCGTATTTATGAAAAGGGCAGAGTATTTTCATCGAATCAATTTTGCAATTGCTCTCTTATCATTGTGTTTCGTTTTGGTAGTCTACTCTGATCGCGATCGCGTCATTTATTTTGTTTTATCATGAGTGTTAGCAGTTGCGTATTCTAGTGTCACCTCATTTTTCATTTCCGTGTATTCATTTCTCGACATTTGCGTCAGCTTTTAACTTTTTTTTTGAAATTTTATATCATATTGAAACAAAAAACTCTTTATGAACGTAGCGAGTATTCTAGAATGGCTTTGAACTCGAAATCTCCAGAAGGTTTCTAAATGCAAATTTTAATTTCAATCAATAAGAGTTTCAATTCGAAAACACGCAAAATGTTTTAAAGTTAAGAAAAGGTAAAAAAGAAAGAAAAACTAATTTGAAACGTATGCTCCCGTGTTTGGTCATTTTCTGAAGCGGAAACTAATCAGGAATACCTAACAAGGTTTATTGAATATTTAAGAAACGCGGTCAAAAATTGAAAAAAAAGATGTTGCTCTTTTTTTTTAAACCAAGCGGGTATCTGATTCAAGATCAAATATGCATTTGTGCATTTTGGGTTATTTTTAGTAGACGTTCCTTTAAAGTCTAACTGAGCTCATTGTGCATTCAACCCGAAATCGTCGCAAGCACTTTTTATAGTGATAATCGAAAAACACAATTTATTATCAGCAGTGCCCATCGTATGATAATAATAATAATAATAGATTCGAAAACAATGAAGTCTCATTTCATATCAGTCGCTTCAGCCATAACCATCTACTTTTTTGCAAATGTCTGTTCAATCAAAATTACTCGAAACTGCACTTGATCCGACGAAACGGAGGAAGGTAATTTGGCCGAATTGTCATCCCTCAAATATCGTATTTCCTTTTAAGGCATTGATATTGATTGCGGCGAGTGTTGCCTCGATAATTGCTGCAACATATCTCAAAACTTCAAAAAGTCTCATTTCAATTGTATAAAAAATGAGATCTCAATTTGCAGAACCATATAATCATGTACCATATTCGAAACATTTCGACGAGAAACCAAAGAAAAAGGCATTCGATCCGGTGTTTCTCAGACAACTCAAAGATTTGCTCAAAATTATGGTGCCCAAGTTTTTCAGTCGAGAAGTTGGAATAATTGGTGGGTTAAGTATGAAAATAATCATGTGAAAACGAGCTAGTAAATGTGGAATTTTGCTTTTTTTTGTTTAATCATGTTAATATGATCGAAGGTGTTGTTCGATTTATCAAGTGACGATCAAACTACAAATTGTAGTTTAATGGAAGAAGGGAATTAGTCTGAATATAAAATTGGAATTAATTGATTTGAATAACTGTAAATAGGCAATTTATTTAATTGCATCCAATTAAATCAAATGTTGATTTCAGCAATGCATTCTCTTGTCCTCATCACCCGCACATTTTTGACTATTTATGTTGCACAACTCGAAGGATCCATGGTTCAGGCAATTGTTGAAAAGGTTTCTATCATCCCCTATAGTTTATAATACATACTCTACCACTAATTATAGAATGTGATCCAATTTGTTCTTCATTTACTCAAGTGGATTCTCGTCGCAATTCCGGCGACATTTGTCAACTCGATGATCCGATTCTTCGAGTCTTATTTGGGATTGGCATTCCGAACAAGGCTCACCAAACATGCCTACAAACAATATTTCTCTGTATAACATTAAATTTCAATAGAAATGTAATACAAGGCGTTCAGGACCAAACATATTACGCGGTTTCAAATCTGGATAGTCGCCTTCAGAATGCTGATCAATGTCTCACTGAAGACATCACAATGTTCTCGCAAAGTGTTGCTCATTTATATTCGCATTTGACAAAACCTGTATTCGATCTTGCCCTTATAACGTATCACTCACATGCATATCATTAATAAAATCTCGATAAGACGTTCAGGTTCACATTGCTCCGATTGGCAGTCCAAAGAGGCACCGGCAAGAGCACATTCCTTCCGTCATTCCTGGCCATTTTTGCCGTCTCCGCCACGGCGAGAATTCTCAAAGCGGTTTCGCCAAGGTGTTCAAATTAATTCGAAATAATGAAATAATTTAAACGAATGTTAGATTCGGTCATATGGTAGCTGAGGAAGCACGAAAGAAGGGACATTTGAGATATTTGCACTCGAGAATTATCACAAACAGCGAGGAAATTGCTTTCTATGGAGGTCATCAGGTAGAAAATTCGCATTGATCATCGGCATTCGTTTCGTTTTGCTCAATTCCAGGCCGAATATCATCAACTCGCAAATGCATACAATTCACTGTATCGCCAAATGTTGTTGATATTCAAGAAACGAGTTCCCTATATTATGATTGAACAATTTCTGATGAAATACGTGTGGTCTGGAACGGGAATGGTCATGATTGCATTGCCAATTTTGGCGGCTGAATATGCCGACGACGAAAGTATTGCTAGATTAGAAACAAAAATTTCTTAATGTTTCAATTTCAGAAAAAACAAAACTCATCGATCTTCCGGATAATGGAGTATCCGAAAGAACAAAAGGATTCTCGACAGCCAAAAATTTGCTAACGAATTCGGCGGACGCTGTCGAGCGCCTTATGACGAGCTACAAGGAGGTTCTTTGAACCATGTTCATTTCGCGAATTCCACACAATTTTGTAGATCACTGAGCTGGCGGGTTATACGGGACGAGTTCACGAAATGTTCAAAGTGTTCGAGGACACGAAAAAGAAAATTTATCAACGGGCGACACTCGCCGAAGTCGATGGAAAACGTCGGGGAGAAAGATTCGACACAACCCAAATTAAAGGTCCCAATTCAGCTACTCTATCAAATCTTATTTTCAATTTCCATTTTAGGAACTGTCATTGAATCGAAAGACAGTATAATTTGCCTTAGCGATGTACCCATTGTGACACCAAACGGTGACGTTGTTGTCAAATACATGTCGATTACGGTAGTTAATATTTGTCATAATTAAATGATTATCAATTGTTTAGATAATTCCGGGAATGCATTTGCTGATAACCGGTCCCAATGGCTGCGGCAAGAGTTCATTGTTCAGAATCCTCGGAGGACTTTGGCCTGTTTACAGGTTCTCCAGTTTTTCTTCAGTCTACCCTCTTTAATTGATAGTGTTATAGTGGAACTCTGGAGAGACCAAAACGACACGAAATGTACTATATTCCACAACGGCCGTATATGACGCTGGGAACACTTCGAGACCAAATGATCTATCCGGATAATACGGACCAGATGAGGAGGAAAGGTGTCACTGATAGGGATTTGCAAAATATTTTGAGAATTGTTCACCTCGAACATATTGTTGAAAGAGAAGGAGGTTCATTTTGAGAAAAGAGACTTCTTAAAAAAATTGAAATCTTTTTAAGGTTGGGATGCGAAAAACGATTGGATGGATGTTCTATCGGGCGGAGAGAAGCAGCGAATGGGAATGGCACGGGTGTTCTATCACAAGTACGAATCAGTGTTATTCTTTTATCATTGAATGTTTCAGACCCAACTATGCACTTCTTGATGAATGCACTTCTGCAGTCTCGATTGATGTTGAGGGTAGTATCTACCAGGCAATCAAGGACGCTGGAATTACTCTTCTCACGGTTACCCATCGTCCAAGTCTCTGGAAGTTCCACACTCATCTGCTCAAATATGATGGAGAAGGTCGATATGAGCTGACTAAATTCGATGAATCTGACATTGGACAAAGACTGAGCTATTCTGACGAGAAGAAGCAGCTGGAGGAGAAATTGAAGGACGTTTCGCAGTGGAAGGAAAGACTTCAAGAATTGTGTCAGGTATGTTCACCTCCTTTATTTCTAATGTTCTCATCATTGCTGACAAAACGCTGTTGAATCATTTGAATTCGAAACCCCTCATAATTTAATTTGAATTTTAGTAAGATTAGATTCCAGGAACATCGTTTCGAATTTTGAGTCATTGCTGTTTCGATTCACCAAAAATGATATTATTCATAGCGAATATAAAAATTGAGTAGTGAAGCTAAATTGGAAGAGCTTCGCAAGCATTTCAAAAAAAAAAAAAACAGTTTTTAATAGGACATATCGACGAACTGATAAAATTCACACATAATGTATTCAACCACTTTGGTCTTTTTTCGAATTTGAATTTTTCTTCAATACAGTCAGATACATGATTGTAGATTACGATTTTCGTGTAGATTCGATCTGTCGATTGTAATGCAAATTAGGCAAGTGAGAAATCAAAGGAACGATCCAATGTGTACCCCAGTAAAAAACATTCACTTTCCGGACTAGTTGAACCTTCCACTATTTTGGTTAAGCTCCGGATATCTTAGATGATCCCCCGGACATGTTAGTTGAACTCCTCCGACATCATTATTGATCCTCTATAATTGAGTCTTCAGTTAGCCTTTAGCTCAGCCTAAGCCTCTAAAGTTAGATGAACTTTTTGATGCAAATATCAATGAAATTAAAAAAAAAATAAATTTAACAAAATGTAAAAAATAAAACGCAGACGTCGCGAATTAAAAAAGAAACAATTTTTTCGCGTGGATAACAAATGGACTCTTATTGGATACACCACAGTTTCGGCATATTAATTTGGTGGCTTCATATTAAAACACGTGAATGTACTGAGTTTGCTGAAACAAATAAACTAAAGGAATTACAAAAATGAAACTCAAATCTGATATCTCTTTTTTTTCACCAGTAGATTTATAAATAAAAAGAAATAAAATATAAAAGTATCCTGTAAAAGTCAGACAAATCTCAGCAAGAAGCCTATAATAATTTCGAATCGAAGAGCTCAATTATTGAGTTTTCTCGATTTTGTGTTCGAATTTCGAATAATCAGCCCACATACTCTAATATATTAACATAATCATTGTTAATTATGATTAATTCATCTGTTTTTCCTTAAAATATTTATACATGTGTTCAATTGGTGTTCACCTGATAAATTACGCATGTGCACGCAATTGCGACAAAATTCCGTATTTAATTTCAGCTTCTCGGCGAAGACCGAAACGGGGACCTCTCGATGGATACCGATGAGAGCGGAGATGTCGACAATTAACTATACTAATTATTATTTTTGTATGTAAATAATTTGGCGAAATTACAATTTACAAAGCTAGTCATTTTTTCGTGTGTAATTCTTTATTTTTTCGAACCAAAAAATAAAAAACAAAATATAAATAATTAAAGTAAAAATTAGAAACCGTGCCCGTGTTTGTGTCGCGGAATTATGCAATCAATTCATACAAGATCGATATGTCTGAGTCGTTCCAAGATGTAGGCGCCTTTAAGCGGTTCGCTTAAAGATGAGTCTCTTCGGTGTCCTGATAGAGAATCATGCTCGTCTCGCTTTGATCCCGCACTAGCGGCGATTTTTGCCATCTCGTTTGGCGATCCGTTGTGATAGCACTTCGAGGGGTTCCGGTATCACAAATACTTCGACTCGTTGATCTGAAAGTCAAGTTGAAAATAATAGCGTTTAAGGAGCCACAGAACCTTTTTGGGTAATCGCCGTTCGTTGTCATTATACTATGATCATCTCCAATGTCGCTTTTCATCTGAAAGCCAGTTGAAGTTGTGCAACAAATTCGGAATCCCCCACCTGCAGCTGAGTATTCAATAATCCATACAATATCCAATTCGAAGAGGATCCAAAGTAAGGCAGCAAGTGGACACAATAAATGGCGAATAAAACCCATTCGGAGTTTGTTGCCGGCAATCCTAATAAGGACATTATGATCGCGTAGAGGACGGAGAACCAGTAAGGAGTCCAGCAGACGAAGTAGACAGCGGCAATGAGGACTGTGTAGACGACTACACGTCGGACAGGAATAGCCGATCGTGGCAAGACCCTGAATCAAGGCATAATCCATTGAATTCAATCGTCTGCAATACCTTTTATGAGCATAGAGCTTATTGATGAGTTTGAGATTGAAGTAAACGATAAGAATCAATGGGACGACGTAGCCAAGAACGAAGGTGCTGAAATTTTCATTTCTCAAATTTTTCAACGTTTAATTTTTAATGTTTTTCATAATCCAAAAATTATTGCGAACAGCTGATTTATTGTTTGCCGTCTGCTCGAAACAGATGATTTTTTCCATTTTTTTTTTCGCAATTCCAGAGTGGGCGAAACGTACGTCGAAGTAAACCAATAAAAAATCGCTGATGGCATCATGTCCGAGCATTTGAATACACGAACTCGGGTGACGTTCATGCTTTCTGGTGATTTGAGCTCATGAAGCACCATTTCTTTGGCTCGAGCGTACGAGAGCATCGGGACGAGAAGAACAAACGCCATCGCGGAAAGACCTTAATTTTATAATTGATACAATATGAATAATGGAGATTCAGGGATTACAGAAAATCGTTGAAACCACAAAAGTTCGACTTCTCAATCGATGTTGATGTGGATAGCAAACGGCGACGTATCGGTCAAAAGACATGGCGGTTATCAAGAAGGTGCTCAGAATCCTTCCGACACTTCCACAAATATGATGCAGTTTGCACATTGGCGTTCCGAAAATCCAGAATCCAATTACACTGTCCTGCAAAAAAAAAAAAACGTGCTCAATTGTCTGCAGCAAGATTTCATAAAGTGCAAACTCTTCTAGAAAAATTTATTAATTCCTCATTGAGTTTGCGCATTCCACTCTCAATTCCATTATTTATTTAATGAAAAAAATAATTCTGCTCAAAAAATTCATTAAAATTGTTTTTTGTGGGATCCAAAAACGTATTCATAGATTTGATTCGGCACACAAAACACCAATATGTATATTTATGTAATATCCGGTCACATTGTTGCCGGAATTCTCAGAATCCGCTTGTTTCAGAAAACACCAACGCGAATAATAGGGAAGTAAACGATGAGTGAAAAAGGCACTGCATAATTGAGCGAATCTACTATGTATATTGGTCGAGTCATACGCCAGATTATAATTCGTCCGGAAAAAAAAGAAAAGCAAAAAATCCTTCAGCTCGATTAAAATTTTAATTTTGATGGGCTTATGTCATTATCGAGAACAAATTCCGTATTTGAAGTCATTTGAATGTGTTTTTCAATCATCATCTAACAAGAGATTTTTGAACAAAACCAGGACTTCCAAGAATTCTTGAAACTTTCAGCTGCTTGACTAAATGTTGAAAACAAGGAAGTCTGAAAATCACCAAAAAAAAGAATCAAGAAATTGAAGGTTTTGCAAAAACGAAATTATGATCGAACACAATGGAAAAGTGATTGCGTAGAAATTCGTGTTCATCCCACTCAACGCCCTGCTAATGCCAAGGATTATTTCCAACAATTTCTAGTCGTTCAAACACGTAGTAATTCTAATCAAGACTCTCAACTCCACATTGACATTGATTGTTGAATGCGTGGGAAAATGGCTTACAAGAATCGCTGGAGGAAGACTGAGCGACATCAAGAAGTCGCAAACGCACAACGCGGCGATGTACAATATCGCGTTATCCCCGTTCCGTTTGAGTCTGCAAAACAGAAACATTGATACAATTGAATTCCAAACACCATCGACACCGTTGTTTTCGGTCTTCCATGACACCTCGAATAATCGTCAAAATCGACGAGTTTCCGCATACTCCAACGATGAAGCATAGCACAAAAACGACGATGACGATTAGCACTTTCGGCTGAAGCTCCTGCAATTTGCACATTTCCATTCAGCGCTTCATTAAGGAACAAAAAACAAAACAAAAGCAAGTGTTCATACTAAATGTGACACAACACGTGTCTGTGTGTGTGTTTTTTTTCAGCCAAATTCATTTATTTTGTAGTCGAATACAAATTATTCATTTAATTCTTGTCTCCACCACCCATTACATTCTTCCACTGCGAGACGCTTCATTTAAATTTCAGAATAGTCATGCGTTATGCTGTCGATCGAGATTTTCGGTTTTCGAAACAACCCCGCCAATACGAAATGAATTGGACATGAGTGAGCCGAATTGTTCACGGATTAATCCCATAATACCAGTCATCTGACATTTTGTCTACGCGCCGGCGAAACACATTTTGGTCTGCACTTCTGAACTTCTTCTTCTTTTTTTTTTAAAGAAGAATGTCCTCTGACGTTTCTATACTTAAATTCACATTTCCTGATCAATTCGCCTCCTACGGTATCTTCGAAGCTTGAAAAATAATATTTGATTAATAATAAACAATTTCACATTAATTGACTCAAAATTTGTAACCCAATTAGCGTGGGTGCGAAATTCAAAAATGAAAATAAATTTAATTCTGAAACATTCAATTTCAGATTGAAGATTTAGAGGATATCCGCTTTAAAAAATGTTGTAATACAATTCAAATTGATTGACTCTTAAAAATAAATTTCGTGGAAATAATAACTGTAATTGACTGAATTCAATTTCGGAATAGTGCTAAACGACAATTGATCAAATTGAATTCGAGGGCGATGAATCGTATTCGTTCATTAATATTGAACAGAAAGCAAAAGCAAAAACAATTGATTGCACTTGGAAGTATACGAAATTGTTTTCGTCGAGACAAATATGGTAAGAAATGATTATAAATTCCGAAAATCCTTTTAATCATTCATTTCGTAGATATTTCCAGAAATAAACACGAAAAGATTGAAATCATCAACAACAACGGCGATATTTCCCATTTGATCTAAGGAAATTAATAATTCAATTAATTGGATTATCTATGCTGAATATGTTGTTCTGCAAACTGATTTTTAGTCGAAAAAATGGGAAAAAAGCGGAAGATTTTTTTCAAAATGTTTTTAACTGAATTTAAGTTCTTGAAAAATGCACTTTTGAAGAAGAACGTATTGCAAAAAATCAAATTTCTGAGATTTTGTTTCAAATTAAATTTTTTTTTAACATGCGAATGAAACATATAAGGGCAACTAATTGAATGTCTATTTCTATTTCTTCCTGATTCGAATGTCTGTTCAATCTCAAATTGGTTTCCAGAACCGCAAAACCTCTTCTTCGTCATGTCACATGACGTTAGAAAGTATTGAGTTTTAAAAACCCGGAGTGGATTATTAATAGAAGCTGACTCTGTCGAAACAATTCTCGCACAGAAGCCTCAAATTTTAATAATTCGACAAATTTTGAACACATTTTGTCCGATTGGATAATCTTTTAATGAAATTCAGAAAAAAAAACGGATATTGAGACTGAGAAAATCCGAGAAAAAAAAACTGAGCTCACCTGTATTGGCGGGTAGACATTGCGAACATAGAAGTCGTGTCCATTCTGATCGGGACAGTACAAAATATTGTCGTGGTAGGGCTCGCACTGGTCGGTGTCGATGGTGGCCATCACACGACTGTAACGTGCCATATTGTATATCTCGACTTCGGTCGACGCGTCCATTCCTCCCAGAAACCGACGATTGATAGGCGTTGGGGGGGTTGTGGCGGTAGCTGCTGCTGCTTCTGCTGCTGCCACTACTACTGGTGCTGCTGCTGCGTGGGGGAGCAACTATCACTCACCCCTATATTTTTCAGCCACATCGGCTCGGCTCAGGCTCCGCCCACCCCTCGACGCCTATTCCATTCATCGTTTCGAGAGCAACGCGAAGAAAAAGAAAAGTGGTGATGACGGTGGCGACGGCGGATTAAAATGGAAAAACATGGAACTGGAGGTAGACGAGTTATAATAGAAATAGTAATAAAAACAATCATATTCAATTGGTCTCGAGTGGAATTCAATTTTATTATTCGTGAAGACAATCAAATTTAACAGTTTTTTTATTCGAATCACGCTGGTTTTGAGAATAGAATTGAGTTGTTGACTTCATCAATTGGTCAAGTGTCGAACAGGAAGAAAAAAAGAAGACGAGCGTTGATTCTCTCTACCAAAAATTAATAAAACACTTCATGAATGAAAATTTTTCTACTAATGATCAGAGTTCCGTTGCTACTTTTAAATAAATGTTATTTTCAGAGACATGCAACTATCAGAACAAAAAAAGTTAAAGAAATAAATGCAATCTAATCAATTTTCTCGTACATACACCCCAACATTGGATAAGTTTTAAATAATTATTGATCTCCATGAAACTGGAAATAGAAAAATAAAAAGAAACAAAAAAGAGTCATCTATATGAGCCGGAAGTCAGATTATATACATGATTACGGAATGAACCTTTAAATTTAGTAAAACTCTAAGAATTTACTCTTGGTAAAAGCGGAAGCAAATTGTATATATTGTTTTCGAAAAATTAGACAAAGAGTGTGAGAATCGCGATTTACATATTCAACACCAAAAAAGGACTATATTGAACGTACACGCGTTTTCCTTTTCGTTTGTTCTCCTAGTTGACGATTTTTGAACTAGAATACCTCCGGAATTCGTGGAAAATGTTTTAACGGCTTGGTGATAAGACAAAATAGCGTGAGAAAATATAGTATATTTTCCAAATGAATCTGAGAAAGTCTACATGTTTGAAAATGGCGATCAAAAAATCGACTGGAAAATTATAGATTAATCATCGAAAACCAAGAAAATCGAAGAAAATTCATTGGTTTTAGTAGTGGGTGAAATTGACAAATTTGAATTTCGCGGGCTATCATCAATTCAGTGGTCCCTTAAAAAATGTGCCATACTTCGCCATATGACGCTTTTGTTAATAATCGGGACACTTAAAATTCATCAAAAAAACGTTCGCAAAAACTTCGAGTTCTTCCATACGATACCCAAGGCGGCAATTCAAATCATACAGTAATCGCAACCCAAATTTGGTCGTATTTTGAACTGTTCCCATAAGCCATTTAAATTCGAAACACTCAATTTTATAATTATTATCGAAAATGAGCCGAATAATAATTTAAAAATTACGATAATTGTTTATTTTGGACCAACATCACATTTTAGAGCTAGCTTTAATTTATAATTATGCTAATTATTATGCTAATTATAGATTATGAATTTGAAAAAAAAATCTAGTCTGTCATTCGATTATTTGCAAAAAATTAATATTATAATAAGCTAAATATCAGTTTAAACAAACAAAAAATGGCATAATTCAATGTTCCACAAAATATTTGAATAAATATACATTATATTGTGTAACTATGCATTTGTGACGTCGTCAACGATTAAAAATGTCGTAAAAATCACAAAAAGGCACAAAAAATTTAAAAAATTTTGAAACCAAACGAGACCATATTTTTTGATGCACTTTATTCATAACGAAATTGTTCGAAAAAATAGTGCATATATCCTCAACTTCCTTTTTATAACGAATCATTCCAATTAAGGCGCTGACTAATTAACGAGACTCAATTAAAATTGCTAATTTGGAATTGCGCATTTCAAAGTGTATTCTTCAATATTGTACTATTGCTATAACAGGGGGGGGGGCTTGAAAAAAAATTAAATATGATTAATAAAGAGGGTAAGAAATGCTCACAAAATCGCTGAAAAGTATTCATTTTTTGGTTAGGATAATTGCCAAAAAAAAATTTGCTTTCATAACGATCGGCAATCATTGTTGACAGCTAACTGAAAATTAAAATTTTTTCAATAAATAAAATTTGTAAGCTTATTTTTCAGCCATTGGCGACGGGCTGAAATTAAAACAAAAATAAGATCAAATTTGGATATAAAAAATGTCGGCATTTTCTTCAAAAATCTAAAGAGCAACAAATTTGAAAATCGCTAAATATTTGGAAGTAATTTTGAAAAAGAATTCGGCATTTCCTAACCTGATTGTTTACCACAATAGACCCCCGCCGATGAACATAAGAACACGCCGATGATTATGCGGAACTTGTCAACAATTGCCGGGACGATTTAGCAACAAGAAACAAAAAAAAACAGGGACCATCGTCGAGAAAAGAAAATCACAAGAAGAATGATGAAATCATGCATCATTTAAACGGTAGGAGATAAAGGGGGATCAGCTGAAATTATATTATTATCGTACTACGATGATTTCGTGGAAAAAATCAAGAAACTGGATTAATCTGGTTTTTTCTGCATCGGGGTTGTAGAATTTTAAAACCGATTTTTGATGTTCTTTTTTCAAAATCTGTTAAGTACCAATAGTCTTTTTAAAAAAGAAAGTCGAAAATCTTAAATTGTACCGTTTTTTTAAAGAACGATGCTCGTAAATTAATAAACATTTTCTTTTGAGAGTAAAAAAAAACAAAAGATATTTTGATTTGGTGTATACCTAATATGTTTTGCAAGAGAAAAACTTCCGAGTTATTCAAATTACACATTATGAATAATTGACAATTTTAATGTTCCTGTATTCGGATTCTCGACGCGATTACTCGATTTGCGCAAAACAAATAAGCTTCTCAAATATCACACTGAATTCTTGAGTATGCAAAATTTTTTTTTCAAATTCACGAAAAATAAAAGCGAGCGAAAAACGATTGTAGAGGGGATTTTTCGTGTGTAATGAACACAAACACCTCAAATATTCGATCACAAATTAGAGAGCGTCTTAATGTGCATCTGATGACGGAATGAAACAGGAAATTCGTAAGGGTTCCTCCTAATTCTTCTCCTTCTTCACTCGATCTTCTTGTTTAATTGTTTTCGAATCGAATTGGTCGAAAATTTGCAAAAAAACGATAATAATTTTTGTCATATAATTGAATTATTCGCATCATAAATGTTAGTTATTGTTAATTAAATTCGAGAGCGAAACTCAAACATCATTAAAATTGCGAAATAAAAAAAAAGCTATTAAGAATTGGGGGTCAAACAGGCAAGAGAAGAATATCATTTTATTTTGATGATTAGGATGGAAATCGGATTTTCAAAGTTCATTGAAACCATAAAATTTGGCGCTTATTTTCAAAGAGAATTTTTGAAAATTTTTCGAAAAAATTGATGATAAATGAAATGAGTTGAGAGGCTTCTAACATCGATTTTTGACACATTTTTCTTTTAGAAAAAAAATTTAATTTGGTAAAAAAAAATGGGACTCGTCTGAAAAAGATTTTAGTAGAAATCGATAACGATAGATGAAAAAAAAAATGAAAATCGATAAGTTGGTGAAAATTTAAATGATTTTGAAAATTTTGGCACAACTAAAAAATTTTTCTTAAATGCAACTGCTGTGCCAATTTTTCAAAATCAAAAATTAAAAAGATGGAGATTTTCATCAAAAACAAATTAAAAATTGTTATTTAATTAATTGAATATGATTTCGCAAAATTATGAATTCTATTTTAATCAATTTAGGTCGAATTCAGCACTGAAATAAAAACGTTTTAATTCTTGCCAGGAATTTAGTTGATTTTTCTATGTGCCTTTGAAATATACAGTAATTTTGGCAATTTTAGTAAAACACAAAATATGTAAAGTTAAAGTTTTTAAACGGTTTTTGTTTGACAAAAAAAAACGAACTTTTAAAATCACGTAAAAAATTTTTATTTTCCGACTCAAATTTGAAGTGCGCGGGCAGATCCCATTAAACAAAATGAGCTCATAATTTTTCATTTGAAAATTTTAAAAAATACACGAAATTTCTACACACAAGAGTGTTGTCTTTTCATAAATAATTGTCAAAATTGCAAAATTCTCTACATAAATTTCAATGAACTGTATCAAATGAGGGTGTTTTCAAAATGAGAATTTTCAGCATTTTTTGCTGGTTTTAAAACGTTCACTGATGTACTAAATCGAGCGAATCCAGACTGACTTGAGTATACATCGAAAAATCTTATGCAGACAAAAAAAACCCGAAATTATGAATTGATATAATTGTAAAGAATAAAAAAGTGTACGTGATTGTAAAAAAAAACAGATGAATAATTCTTTCGGGCTACACTTTTCGAGATCCAACATAGATTAAAATGCCAAGAAAATGTCGAAAAACACAAATAGCTTCGGGATAAACCAGCTTTAACCAATATCCAATTTAATCTTCTTCACAAATATTGGTATTTTACAAGGTTTTTTTTGAAAATAGTGAGTCAACGAAAAATGTAAGAGATTAACCGAAATAAACAATCAGCTGCTCAGATTCGATTCAAAAGATCTTGTGATTTCTTAAATTTCATCTTCATCTTCTCGAAACAAGAAAATATGTAGATTTTGTCGAAAATAAATAAATAATTGGCCAAGAAAAAGAAAAAAATGTGGAATGAAGGTAGACGAATGATTCAGTTTCATTTCTTTTTATTTCGGAAACTACCAAGTTTATGAATATGCCATAAATTGTGATGCGATGCGAATGAAAAGAATTTGCGAATAAAGGGGTTCGTGTCGACGCAGAATCGAGCGCTAATCACATTTGCACCGATTATTGCGGTCACCACCAAAATTACTGCAATTGGTAGCAGAGATCGACTCAAATTTTTTATTCAATTCCTAAAATTGAGAGAGCAGATTCTTGAAATAAAGGTATT